TCTTCCATTTCTTCTTTAGTGAGTGAAAAATCGAAAACCTGCAAAGAACAATTATAAATGTTCTTTAGTTACAAATGTTAGTATTGTGTAAACAATTTGGAATTGAAGTAATTAATAAAGTGTCGTTGTTTTTTTTATTTGTTTTTTTTTGTTTTTTTGTTTTGTTTTGTTTTTTTTTTGTTTTTTTTGTTTTTTTTTTTTTTTTTTTTTTTTGTTTTTTTTTCACGGAAATCATTTAAATTTTATCTTAGATAGAAATTAGTTCTAATTGCAATGTACAAACTTTCTTCAATAGGAATAAAATATAAAATATTTTTAATTTTAAAGAAATTGTGCCGATAATTTATGTTTTTATTTATAGTATAGTCAAATCCATTTTGGTCAAATTTGTGAATTATTGAATAATTTACTGGCCGTTCTTTTTGAATTTCAAGTCCATTCTCCATTTTCTAACAAAGAAAGAATACTTATTTCGGCCGATACCTGGAAATTGCTTCGTATTCTTTCTGGAGTCACACTCTTTGGAATTACAATAATACCTCTTTGGATGAGATTTCGAAGCAAAATCTGTTAAGAAGAACATGACATGAAAACAAAGAAATCCAAAATATATATACATTGATGAATAACAGGACATTTTCCCTTTCAGTAAAAAAAGGACGCAGTACTCATCCAGATTCGCTTAAGGGGATGAAGGACACATGGTCACATGACTCTGTTTATCTACGTCATAGTCTCCGTTTATATAAGTGCAAAACGTGTAAAGCATCAGTTCTTGTATAATTTTTTGACAATTTTTTAACTTTAATTACCATCTAATATAAAAAAAAAAAAAAAAAAAGCTTTAACATTTTGTAAACATTAACAAATTCTGAAAAAGAATGATCCACTCCTCTGTTTCCCTAAACTGCGCGTCCAACAAGTCGGTGACGTCATACACGATCTGTTAGTACAGCAAGATCATACTCGGTGAACAGAGGGGCAGTATTATTATGTAAAAACAGGTCATAATCAGTAGATGATGAAATATTTTGAGAAAAGGGGAAGAAAAAAATGATTTTTGCATGGCTGATGACGGAAATCTTATGTAGGTATATCTTATTTCGCTTATTTAGCTTACGTGTGACGTCATAGTTGGTTTTTCCCGTACTCGAGAAATGTAACATGACACGTTTTTGTCATGCTTGTGTCCTCTTTAACGATGTCCTGTGAAATAATGAGGTCAGCTTCATCATTCGAAACTTTTACAGTTAATCAATAATTTGAAGGATTTGCATTTCAACGTAAATTAAAAAATATTGAATGATAGAATTTTTTGTAAATTACGTTTTTTATTGTTTAAGTTGTCTTAAAAAGTGCGCAATTTTCCCTATCCAGATGCAGTGTGATAAACAAAACTTGCTTTTTCGAATTTTAAATCCTAGTTATACTCTGAAATATTTTAAAAGATACATGTCCACTTTGATATTTTTTATGTATGCTTAAAAAAATCCCATTATGGACAGAGTAATGCGCCCAGAAACATGGAGAATTAAAACTCCACTTAGATACTGTAGGGCATAGTATTTGTCAATCAATATCTCCAAAATAAGGTAAGAAACCTAATGATATAACTGCTTTATGATATGTGGGACATACTTAATTAGAAATATACAAAATATGAAAAAAATTAAATGACAAGTATTTTTCAGCTCAAGGTCCTTCTCCTCCTTAAAGCACCATGCTACCACTTTAGCGAGGAATGAAGGTTCATACTAGACATCAAGTATTTCAAAATCAATTTCACTTCCAATTGTTTACATAAAATGCGACTCTTTCTTATGTTATAATACAAATTTGGTCAAAAACTGCAATTCATATTTATTTAATCTGTTGATCTTATCTATTTTGTTAGTGCACCTGTGCAGGGGTTTTTCCATATTTCTTGGCTATTTTCTGGATGAGAGGATCTTCTAGAGCAACAGGTTCATCTGCCTTTTTACTGCAAATTAAAAATTACACTTTAAAACAACGACACTGAAGATTACATTTCGCACTTCTTTTTAATTCTTGAGATCAGAAAATAAAAGAAAACCTATTGAGCTGCTTCTAGGAAAGGTTATCAATCTTATATAATATTGACATCACCACAATATTTATTTTTTTAAATAATTTAAATATTTGTATAATGATTTAGACACAGAACAGATAAGAAGAGATATGCTAAATCGTCCATTGAAACAATGCAAATTGTAAGTAGCGCAAAAAATGGACCCCCGAAAACATCAATGGGCGGGAGCAGAAGCCATGGAGGATAAAGCATCCTCTGTCGTCCATTCAAACCATAATTGCAAGGTTGGATACTAGTCAGACTTCCTTTTCGTATTATCTATAGAGTCCCCACCTCTTTAAAGTGCACAGGCCAGTCCAAACTAATTATCGTGGATGCACCCTGTGATTAGACCTCTACCACATCTAAGTATGGTTGTTTGAATAATCATTTAGCTAAGCAAAGAAAAAATGTTCGCAAAGATTTTATATAGATTTTGATTTTTTTTCAAGCTATAATAATAATAATAATAATACTTTATTTAAAGAAGGTAACCTGATTAGTATAAGCACTATTCTTCCCCAGGGCCTTCTGTCAATAAACATTATAAAGTTAACATAGTTATACACATACAAACATATAATAAATATATACATAAATATACAAAGACAAATATGAATCACAAATTATTCTGACATTGTTTTACATAATGTTTTACTTGTTTTTTGAAAGCATTAAGAGTTGGTGACATTTTTATATGTATAGGTAAATCATTCCATAACATGGCACCAGAGTACTGGAAGGAATTTTCAAAAAGTTTACATTTATGAATTGGCACACAAAGTCAACATTAGATTCAGATCGGAGATTGTATTGGTTATTACTTTGAAATTAGAACATGTCATTTAAATAAGTAGGGCAAGAATTAAAGAGGGATTTATATAGTAATACATATTTATTTACAGTAAGTTGTTCATAGACAGTTAGCCAATCAAGTTCATCAAAAAGAGGTCGTGAGGGTGCATCAGGGGGAGCATCTAAAATATACCTTGCAGCACGTTTTTGAAGCTTATGAACTCTGTCAAGATTTGATCGGGATGTATTGCCCCAAATTGTAAGGCAGTAATCAATAGTAGGCATGATATATGCATTATAAAACAGCTTGCGTGTTTGAGTGGGAAGATACTTTTTAATTCTTCGGAGGGTAGAAATTTTATGTGACAGGGACTTACACACATGGTCGATATGTACATTGTACTGTAGAGAGTTATCTAAATATACTCCAAGAATCTTCTCATGTGTTACGTTGTCTAGCTTCTGATTTGATATGTATAAAGAAAAATCATGCTCTGAGAATTTTGATCTCTTCTGTTGTGTGCCTATTAACATGCATTTAGTTTTTGAAGCATTAAGTACCATTTGATTCTGAGAGCACCATTTTTCTATACAAGCAATGTCCATTGATAATGCATTTACAATAGAATGGGAATCTTTGCCGGGGACATGTAGAGTGGCATCATCTGCAAACAAATCTATGTTTGAATTTTTAATATTAAGTGGAAGATCGTTAATGTAAAGTAAAAAGAGGCCCTAGTATAGATCCCTGTGAAACTCCCGCTGTGACTTGCTGATAAGATGAGTGTTTGTTAGACAGATGGACACTTTGAAGTCTGTCACTTAAATATGATCGAAACCACTGTAAAGTTATTTCATTAAAATTATAACACTGTAGCTTTTTAAGAAGAATTTCATGATTTACTAGGTCAAATGCCTTACTGAAGTCAAGAAAGACAGTACCAACAAGTTTGCCTTGATCCATTTCATATAACCATTCATCTGTAATTTTTGTTAGGGCTGTTTGACATGAGTGCAGTTCTCTGAAACCTGATTGAGATTCTATTAGAAGATCAAAGTCTGAAAATAGAGATCGGATATATTTTGCCACATGTTTTTCTATAATTTTTGATAATGTCGGTAAAATAGAAATGGGTCTGTAGTTATTTGGATCCAGTTTGTTTCCCTTCTTAAAAACTGGTGTAACTTTGGCAAGTTTAAAACTCTTAGGAAAAATACATGTTGTAATACTAGTATTTATTATGTGGGTCACAGGTTTATGTATTATTTGTGCAGTAAGTTTTAATAGACGTGGACCAATGGTATCTACACCTGGTGATTTACTAACGTCTAGCTTATTAAGTAAGTAAAGCACTTCATCGGGACTTATAAGTGGGATACCAACTATTTCTGTACCCATTTTAGATTGTACAAAATTCAAAAGGCCGTTAATGTCACACTCCTCTTTATTTACACCTTCAAGGAGTTTAGTAGAGATATTTGAAAAATGAGAATTAAACATCTCTACAATTTCTTGTGTATCCTCTGTAACATTATTATTTTGTGCCAGTGCGGTCGGAATATTATTTTGTGGAGTAGAAGCTAATTTATTTAATGCGTCCCACATCTGGCGTGGATTTTTGTTTTGCTCTATAGTTGATTTATAATAATTTATTTTTGCATTTTCGATAAGTGATGTTACCTTATTTCGCCATATTCTATAGTTTTCAAAGTCTTTATTGTTATGGAAGTTATTGCGCATGTGCTGTGCTTCGAGAATTTCTTGGGTTAACCATTTTGGTCTTGCATCATACTTCACTCTTTTTGTTTTTATTTTTGCATGTTTGTCTAGTACAGTATTAAAAAGTGAATAAATTTTTTTTAATGTATCATTTGGATTAGAGAGTGAATCTAAAGATTGGAAATTAACCTTTTCCAAGTCTTAGAGAAAGTTTATTTCATTAAACTTTTTGAAGTCTACATATATTTTCTCTGTGTGTTTATACTTCCTCACATAATCATGTAATTTTCTCGTAAAACAAATAGGATAGTGGTCAGAGACTGCAATTGGCGGTACTACAGATTCACATATGTTCTCGGGTAGATTAGTATATACATGATCAATTAGGGTCGAGGAGGCATTTGTTATCCTAGTGGGTACATTAATTATCTGTGAGAAGTCATATTCTTCAAAAGCTGAGGTCCAGTACCTTGGGGGGTCTTTCATCAGGTCAATATTAAAATCACCTGTTAAAATAATTTCAGCATCGTCACAGCGGGATGCACAATTTATCTCCGGTGTAAGACTTTCTACCCAACAGGTGGTAGCAGATGGGGGCCTATATGCGGTACAATAAAAAATTGGTTTTGAATTTGGGATGTTAATTTCAAGCCATATTGCTTCTATGTCTCCCTTTTCAAAATCGTTGCGACGTTTGTAATGCAAATTATTGGAGATATATACAGTTAGTCCTCCCCCTGATTTCCCTAATCTATCCCTTCTCTCAAAATTAAATCCATCGATATCTAATTCACAGTTGTCCGTTTGTTCATTTAAAAATGTTTCGCAGATACCAAATACATCAATAGAATGATAGCCTGATTAAAGAAGCTTAAGCTGGTCAATTTTAGGCAAAATGTGACATATATTTAGATTTCCAAATCTAAGACCTTTTTTGATGAGTCCAAAATTAAATGAGTGTGAATTTGAATTTTTCTTGTTTGATTTCTCGTTGATTTCAGGATTTAATAAGTTAGAATTTCTTGTTGATGAACTTGTAGTCAAGGATGTACATGTATAAGTTTCCCTAGGAGATACATTTTTATAAGAACAATTTACATCACTGTCATTGTTAAAACGTGAATAGGACATAAAATCATTATCTAGACTCGATCTTGGTGATATATGATTAGTATTCTGTAAATTACATACTTGTGAGCATTTGCATGATATTTCACCACATTCATCACAAAGACTGATTAAAACACCAAAGGGGTTTGATTTTAAGAGGAATAGTTTTTCGGCATTATCCTCTTTGCCGTATTCCTAATAGGAACAGTGTTTTGCTTTATGACCCGGAGAGTTGCAGTTCCAGCAAACAATTTTTTGCCCATGCCTACAATTCCGTGAGGAATGTCCATTTTCACCGCAATAATAACACATATTCACATTACCAGTTGCATTTTGTGTATCAATCAGTCGACGGGTTTTAATGACTGGAATGTGGGCATCATAGGATTTCAGGAGAGTAGATGTTCCCTTGTCGGATAAATGAATTCCATCCTTCCAGAACAGATCTGATGACTTGAATTTATTTTGAGAGAGATCATGCTAACACTATATTCCTCACAGACAAATTTTATCATTTCATTCATGTGAGTAACATCGGTATCTCGTCGTGGTAGTATTTCCGATACAAAAATTTCGGTATGTGGGGATCTTCTCTGGATATCAAGCACAATTTCAGTGAGATCACATTCACTGGTCTCAATTTCTCTGTCGTTGGCAGCATCATTACCCCCACCAAAAAGGATGATTGACCGAAAGGGTGTTAGGTCAGTTTCCTGGAGAATTCTCCTAATGTCAGACAACCGAGCCCCTCGGTTTGTTCGGACAGCAACATGTCTCAATAATCCTCGGGTTCTTATTCGCTGGAGAATGGAGTCGTCAATTATTAATACAGACTTTCCAGATGGAATATCTGACTCCAGTTGTTGTTTCTTACTGGGTTTGTTGTAAGCTTTTTGATTTCTCTGATCACTTGTTGTTTCCGGGGATGTTGAAGATTCTGTTGTCTCCACTCTAACACACTGGGTATGCCTGGTAACTCCTTGTAATTTGGAATCTTTTAGGTCCCTTGTGTCAATCGCTTTAGACTTTGTAACTAGTTCCCTTGTTTGGGTAGTTGCATCCACTGATTTAGTAGTTTTATTCTGTAGAGAATGCAATTCCTTTTTTAGTCTAGCAACTTCTTCGGAGAGACCAGACACAGTCTTTGTCAGTTTTTCAATAACTTGAAAACTATTGCAGCTTTGACATGGCCTGGGTTCCCCATCTTGTGATTTGCAACGTTTAGGTGTAGACATGTTTTGTGGCTCTGGCATTCCTTCGATTTTACTAATCTCGGTTATTGGTAGATGAGTAATTTGTTCTAGGAATTCTCTTAGCCAAGTGAATCTTTCACTCCCTTGAATGTGGATTGTTTGGGTTGATTTATACAGCGTAGCTGTAACATTACCTTTTTGTGATTTGTAGATGTTTCCATTTTTAAATCCAGTTTTGCTAAACAGTAGATAATTGTTAAGAATGGTCACAATGTCGTCAAATTTATCCCGCTCATAGTTCAATGTAACACTCTGTTTGTTGAATCTCACTTGTAAGAAATCTGGCACTTGAACATCAAGTAATGGATCTACTTCGTCAGATAAAGAATTAGAATTTCCTTGTGAAAATGAAAGTCCAAAGGTATCCAAAATAGATCTGAATAAACTTGTATTTTCGTTCAAATTACTTGACTCCATTATTTACCATATTCAGAAACACAGGTAATTACTGATAAGGAGGAGCATTGTAAAAACACGTCTGGTCATGATCACTTCGAGATCTTATCATCAATTTTGTGTGTTGGGGGGGGGGGGGGGTTAAAATTTAAGAATTACGATATCAGTGCTGTAATTTCCAAAAATTGCCATGTAAGATGTTTGTCCCAAAAAGTTGTAGACAAGTTAAACAACTTTAACTTTGCTAACATGATTTTCTTTTCCTGTCATAGTAAAAGGCACCGTTTAATGATCAGGAATTAAAAGTTTCAGAAGAATAACACTTTTTATGAGAAAATAATGTAAAAATAAAGAAGGCGTTATAGTAAATATCGGCGCACGAAAGCAAAGTTAACATACTTTATGTCTGTCCTAACGTCATGATCATTAATACTTTTTCCAAATGCTGGCCTTTGTACGCAACACACTCATTGCATCTCATTGATTTTTCAAATGCAATGGCAAATCACTACTGACTCAGCAATAAAATTCACCAATGTCTTTAATTTTGGGATCAGATTCATAGTCAAGTCCTTGTAAGAATCTCCTTAAATGAGGCGAAGAATGCACAGTGTTTTACGTTGATTGTAATCGAATTCTGAATTTAAAATTCATAACTCTGCTTCCTAGGTAAAAGGGGTAAAACTGCCCTAAATCTTATGCCATTTTTAAACAACTTCTATACTCACATTGTACCTAGTCTCCTTTGTTATTTTTTCGCCTCTGAGAAGGAAATACCAAAATCAAATCAAAATTTCCTTACATTACTATGTACGGGGGACACGTTTGACGTCATTTGCAGCAAACTCGATTCAGAGTACACTTTAAAATTGAGTTACCACTACTCTGTCTCCGAAGTCATTTACATGAAAATTTTATACATTATACAGGTTTGTTTTCTGATTTTATTGATATAAATTTGAATTTAATTTCTTACATATTACCAGAAAAACAGATGCAATTGCAATAGTAACATACTTACTTAATCTATCTTGCATTTTTAGCATGCGCCGACAGACCATATCGACCTTCTTTGAAATCGTCATAATATTATGACTATGAAAAATTTTCTTTTAAAAATTCACTATATCATTAACATTGCCTACAACGTTCTGAGACATCCCTTGTATATTCATATAAAAGATTGGCAAAATTTACACACGACTGTTTGTTAAAATGTTTCTCTCAAAAATAAAATAACAACAATGTCATACTACGAATATTTCTTGGAAAAAATATACCTTTTTTCTACGCAAGTTTAACAATTTGATTAAAAAAAAGTTCAATTGCGACATTTTAAAGATGCAAAGTAAAGGTGATCTAACATGCATGAAATGTGTTCAGCATATCTTTAGTTCTACATAGTTCTATATAATCAATTTATCAAAACTCAAATTTAGCAACAAATTCTATGAACAAATTGCTTTAAGCAAAAGAATTTTTAGTAATATTTACAGATGTCCGGGTCTTCCTGGAGAACCAATTGGACTGTAAGCTGTCAATGTAACTCCAAGCTTCTTACACCCATCAAACAACTCTTTCTGTTGACAATATATGTGACATTCCACCTGCGAAGGAAAAAAAGTATTTGTATATTGGATAAATGTCTCTTTAATGTGTATACCACCTACAATTTAAGTGTTTTATTTGGGTTGATAAAGAGTAAAGATTCTGTTTGAAGTAGAAAAATGAATGCTAAGTTAACTCACTTGGTTTGTAACGGGTTTGTGTTTTGCCACCTTGCAGATTCTTTCAATTTGTGAGATACTAAAGTTAGACACTCCAATAGATTTGGTCAGTCCCAAGTCTACAAGTTCCTCCATTGCCTGTTTATCGTAAAGATTCTTCAATAATTTTATCTGCTCAAAAATATTTTATGATATGTCAATCTTATCTACTTATTAGATCGAATGATGTTGTACCTTCCATGTTCCCAAAAGGTCCCACTTGTCTGCGGCCTTCCAACCTCCAGTTTCAGTTTGTGGAAAAACATTGTTGTCGTTCCCGTCATACTAAAACGCATTTAATAAGGAAACATCAAGTAACAACTGTTTCAAAGAAGATTGTTTCCAATTTTAGAAACACTACGTTCAGAAACTTTTTAAGAAGCTGAAATCGAAACATCCAATTTATAAGAAGTTTTATTGATTGATTGTATGTTGTTTTACGTCCCATTCGAGAATTTTTCACTCATATAGAGACGTTTATAAAAAGTTTTATACTTAATTTAATAATCTAGTTAGAACCATTCAGATAGCTAGCAGCGATAAGGAAAAATAATAAAAGTATTTATTTAGTAGAAATACCTGTTCTTAATGTATTTGAATTAAAAATATTTCTAACCGCATATTTCATCTATATAACGTTGAATTTAATCAAATGGTTTTATGGTTGCTACTATTTCTTTTCCATCTGCTAATACATTTAATCAGTCTTTCATGGGGTAATTTAAATATGTCCAATTCCAGGTAAATAATCGACTCTTGGCTAGTAAAAGTAAGATTGTTCTTATAATATTTTCATTTCTATTTGTTTTCTCTGTGATAACTCTTTGAAAGTTAGTTGAGTTGATTTCTTGATCATTCTACCGGAATGCAAATTTCGCCAAACGAAAGATCAGGAGTTAAGAAGGACTAAAATGCATGTAATTCTCATGCGGCTATCTTTGTGTCTGACGCTAAGGAGGTCTAATATGCATGTAATACTCCTGCGACTGTCTTTGTGTTTGACGTCAGTGGGCGGGTACTATTGAAATTGACATGTGAGGCCTCGTGTAATTTAAATCTATTAGTCTACATTTTTAAAATCTAAATTTACAATGAAATGGAAATATAAGGAATCACTGTCTAGTTAGTAGAGTATGCCAGGGACATCAACGATAGATAACTAGACAGTGATTCCTTAAATCAAAACAAAAAAAATTGCCAAAAATTTTAATTATGTAATCTTGTGCAAATAACTACTTCAATCATGGAATGAATTCATATAAGACAACAAAAGAAATATCAAAATATCCTCATCTACCTCCTTAACTTGACTATGTAATCTTTAAATTCTCGTTAAAAATGATTTTACATCATGGGAATGGCTACGTTTTGACACTCAGAGACTGAGGAAAAATTTCTGAATTTATGAACTTGATTTAGAATTATTATTATTAAATATCACATTTTTGACGAGTAACCGAGAAAAAAATATGAAGTCGATAGTCGGTATGATCGAGCAATGGACAAATACTCTAATACTCGTTAACATCTCTGCTTGTGACGTTGATTACATTGTTTTGATTTTTTTTTTTTTTTTTAAATCATACTTTCAATATACATGGATTTTAATCACTGTAATTAGGGTTCTGATACTTAACCATATGCTAGCTTTGATTACTTTATGAGACTTTCACATGACCTGATTCTGTTTTGATTTTCGTGTTTTGTTTGTGTGGTTGGTTGGTTACTATTTTTTTTTATTAAGACTAATAATTAGCGTTATGTGTGTCCTTAGGGATCAAAGAAAATGACAGATATTGATAACATAGGAAAAATTTTTCGAAAGCTAAACAAACCCTGTCAGTTTAAAAATCTTTGCACTCCATCGACCTGTTTTAAATCTTATCAATCGTTGCTAAATACAAGAGGAAAACAAAACAGCAAACTAAATCTCAAAACACAACCACCTCCCTGTAGGCGATCAGTTTTATTTTACTTCGAATTTAAAGAATTTTGTCTTATGAACAAAAAATTCTTACACTCTAATTCCACGACCTTAATTCACCTTATTTGAAAATAAATCGACCTCAAGTGCGTCATATTTGTTTTTTAAGTTTAAGAAGGGGAAAAATTCACTAGTATAGTTTAAAGACTGAAGTTCAATGTGTTGGTCTAACTACTTTTGTGAAAGACTTCATAATCATTTAGGATGCCTAAAGAAATCGACCTCATTCCTCCAGGGAGATAAACAAAATTATTTCTTTGCTAGGTAACACTCCTTTCAGCGATACTTGACTTTATGTCGGCAATTAACCATAAATTCATACTGTAGAATCAAATTTTCATAAATCTAATTGAAAGACAGACTGGATTTGCTATAATTCTTAATAAAGCTTATCAATTTTTTACTTACCGCTAAAGGTATAGGAAAATGAACCAGGTACAAATCTAGATATGATAACTGTAGTTTCTTCAAACTTATTTCCAGGGATCTCTTTACCAGCTTTGGGTCCATGTGAATCATCGGAAGCTAGATTAAATATATAATTATATAGAAATCTAACATTAAAAAGATTCAAAATGTTTAGGGGGAAACTCATTTGATTCCTTCTTGAAGCACTTTGTCCAAACAATTTACATCTGAAGAAGTTATATATATATATATATATATATATATATATATATATATATATATATATATATATATATATATATATATATATATATATATATATATATATATATATATATATATATACTAATTGTATGCATAAATCTAAAAAATAAAAAAAATATTTTGGTAATATAAAAACCGACTTTTAAAAATTCAAGAATTTATAGAGCCTTATCTACACGAAATACATATTTGATGTGTACAGATACCTACCTTAGTGACGATAAACAATTCCTCTCTTTTCACTTTTCCACTCTTTATGTATTCCTGCAGAACCTCTCCAATTGCATCCTCATTCATATAATTGTAGGCCGTGTCAATATGTCTGTAGCCAGCATCCAAAGCCGCCCGTAGGGCTGTCTTAACCTCATCCTTCGGACTCTGAATTAAAAAAATAGCTAAAAAAACAGATTTATCATATGTAGAATGTTCTAAAATATGTAGTCAATCTAACAATAAGGAAAACCAGATTGATTGATTAAATGTACATTTTTTATGGCCACATTCTTCTACTCCTTAACCTTTCTCACACAGTGACAACGCTAACATTTCTGGATAAGTACATTACCTGATAAGAAAGAAGATAAAATACCAGTTAATCATAAATAAAGTGTCAACCAGAGAAAGTAATTTAGCTAATAAAAGTAACAAACCTGCCAGGTGCCCAGTCCAATAACTGGCATTTCCTTCCCATTATTTAGTTTCACTGTCCTATTCACTCCAGACATTCTTATACTGGTACCCGCTTCTCAATGCAGGTCAGATTTTATATCCGTTAATGTCCTGAATAAAGGTCAGACCTCTTATCGTTCACGTTTTCAATGATGAAAAAATAGAGTGCGCGAAAAGGTCGGGAATTGGTACAGAATTTCTTTAGATAACACTATGGAATAAATAATATTTTTTAATAAGCACACTTTCTAGAACATATCTATCGTATTGTCTCTACAGTAATTTTATAGTAAGCTATAAACATTTTTATTTACACTGATATAAAAGAGCAAATATTCTGTCAGATTTTTCAGTATTGGAAATTTCAATTGTTTCAGCTAAGGAAAGTGCAACATGATTTATCCTTGACTATTTCACAAAGTTATCATCTTAATACAGGTCACACTTTGTTTTACAACCAGAATGCTCTTTAATAGAAAATTTAAATTGTAAAATTATTGAAAGTATATTTGTATGAGATCATGCCATGATTAATTGATAAATGATCTTTTTTCTGGTTTGAAAACTAGCATTGAACATGAAAGTACTCAAGCTGTCCCTCTAGCTAAATTCTCATCTTAAATGAAGAAGATGGGCGAACAAGGCGAGCGCAATGCTTAAAGTGCAACAAACATGAAGGTAAAAAATTGAATCTAAATTATAACATTTTTTTTATAATTCATCTAAATATAAAGTCTACTTTATGTAAAAATGCCACAATTTGCAAAAATCTCACTAAGATTGAATCTAATTGCCTTTGAGACAGCATGCACACACTAGAGAGGGCAAAAGGGTTCATTTTCTCATACTATAATACAAAATTTTTGATATGTGTGGGACTATTCATCAAGAGCCGTGTAGCGTAGTGGTTAGCATGTTAGTTGCAAGGGGAAATGATACGTGGGGTTTTTATTGCTAAAGTTCGAATCCCACGAACACCACATTATTTTTTTAATAACAGAATAATTTTTGCCGAAAAAAAATTCTTCAGATAAATTTTGTTTATCATAATTTCATAAATTTCAATAATGAGAACTTTGTTTTAAGATACTTAATTCACAAATTGATTACGATTTTTATATATCTGAGGCTATAGGCATTCTGCGCGCCTTATTCACCCATCTTCTTTATTTTTAGTGCATTAAGTATAAGCATCATTTTAGTCGCATGATAACATTTCATCATTGAATATTTTACTTTACTTAGCTCTATAAAATAATACTGATGTATTATTAATACAAGGAAAAACAAAGACAGTTCAGTATTACTTAAATGTACACGTAGATGGGGGGATGTACGTATAAAAAAGTAATAAGTAACTCTATTACCTTTTATAGCTTAATAAAATGTTAAGAATGCTTGAATTTAGTAAAAAAAAAATATACACATAAAAAACACTAGACTAGTGTAAATGTACAATAATAAATTATAGTTTATTATTTGAATTTCTTTTATCTAAAATTAATTTAAAGGGCAGATCACTCTAAAAAAAAATACAAAGGAATTAGATCTCTTTGATTTGCAGTGTATAGGGGATCGATATATCCTATATCCTTGAAATGATTCATGTTTATCTTTCTATTCCATTTTTCGAAAAATAGTGTTACTATAAGATAAAAAGCAGTTTTTAGCCACCATAATTTTATATACATTAAACTTTGAAATTCAATTCTCTTTTTAATCATTCCATTCATTACTTTCAAATAATTGAATTCGAAGAATGTTATTTTTTCTCAATCTCTGATTTATTTGACTCAAGTGTAATTACATTAATCTATAAACAAAATAACCAGACGCCATATCTCCTGACACCATAGTGCAATTGTCAAACATTTCAGACCATGTTTGTTTGTTTGTTAAAATCATTTCACTGCACTATTTCAGTATTATTTTATGGACATTAATTTATCAAATACATTCTCATAGGCAAGGGAATACCAATTTTAAAAAATTAAAGGTAAGGAATAAAATATTGATCTCAAAATGTAAATCATATAAAGTCTGTTAAATGAAAGAAATTATCACACATCTACAATTAAATAACAAAAGAAACATCCATCCAACATATTTCTTTAAAAGAATGTCCAATAAAATTGACAAAGATAATTTTCATATAATCCTTCACACACATTCCTTCACATATTCGATTTTTTTTCATTCACCAGGGACGTTCAGGGTGATCCTTGAACCTACAGAAAAACACACGATTTAAGTGTAATGAAATAATTTGTAAAACGAATTTGAGTGCATGGAGAAACTTATAGTAAATGTATAGAAAAGGACTGACCAATGAATTTAATGTGAAGTTATCACTTACATTACAGTAATAGCATCAAAGTAGCTGTATCGAGTTTTTATGTGGCTAATTTCCTCCATGTCTTTCTCAGACAGAGCAAAATCAAAAATCTGCAATGAAAACGAAAATAAGCTTTTTTTATTATGAGATCGTATTCTCAGTATCTACCACCAATCCTTGGGATGCCCATTAAATGAGAATGTTTTAGAACTACAAGATTTGTGTTAAATTTACCCCTCTAAACAAGCTTTTTAAGCTTTGATGCGCATTTGAAATTCATCTTCCGCCGAAATATGGCTGAAATATTGCCGACTTGGCGTTAAACAATAAACAATCAATCAATCAAGTGCATCTTTGTACTGCGTACCTGGAAATTGCTACGAATTCTCTCTGGATTCGTACTCTTTGGAATCACAATCATACCTCTTTGGATGAGATTTCGGAGAATAACCTGTAGGAAACATAGATCGTTAACGGAGATTCAAAAGAAGCGTAGGTTCTTTGCTTAGATTGTTGGCAATATTTTGATTGAAAAATATGGTGAACTTTTTCCAAAAAAAAAAATTGAAAAATAAAAGACCGTTTTATATACAATGTATCCTTTCTGGAGCAAACAAGTTATAAATTTAAAAGTACAAGTAGTTGTTCAATATCTGCATTTCATCAGATAATGATCAGCAAGAGTGTTTCAATATTTGGACGAATGTCTTTCAAAATGTTGAATATTAATATCACAAAAAGTACAAGTTGGAATTCACTGAAATGAAAATACTCTATTGAGGCAAATAAAATTATCTTCATAAACGCAAGAATTGGTCAAGGAAACTTTGCAAATGTCTTAGAATTATTTCATATATGCATAGGAAAACCTTTCTTTTTTTTTCTAATTGAAACTAGAGATAGTCAAATTATTATTCATAAACACAATGTACTTTATATTCAAATTCATCTACATGTATATTTGTAGCCTTCCAATTACTTGGTTTTGTTTAGATTGGGTCTTTTTTTTTCTTGTGTATAATTTTCCAAATTGCTTCCGCTAAGTTTTGCCACCGTACCTGCGCTGGAGTTTTCTCATATTTGTTGGCTAATTTCAGGATGACGGGATCTTCTAAGAGAACAGGACCACCCGCTTGTTTACTATCATTTAAAATAAATTTAAATGTATACGTATTAGTTCTTTTTGTACCTTGAAAACATACATCATCAAACACGAACATATCCATAAATCCGCGAGTAAAAATATTTAAATGTTGTTTTACTATCTTTCTGAGAAATCTTAATTTTGTTATGAAGTAAAATGTGTTTTCTTTGTAAGGACAACTCTTCAGTAGAATTTTAAAAATACTTTTTAAAGCTAAATTTGAGGGATTTGAAGGGGGAAAAAAATCAAAATCATCACAATCAAATGCTAAATATGTTTATCTTTATTGATTAGATTTCAAGATATTTTTTTCCTTGAGTACTGCATAATTACTCGAGCATTCAAAATTTTTATCAAAGGCTAGAATACTGGTATTCTTTCGTAAAAACACGGAAATAATTATTTTATTACAAGCATGAAGTAAGATGTTTCTTTGATATAAAAGTCTTGGACACATAAAATTCATTCATTTACACAAAAAAGAAAATTACATTTGAATAGAATATTACCGATGGAACGTTTTAGCCTAGGGAATTACTAGAATAGCATTATTTTACCTTATACGTATTGAGTTTTACAAGTTGAGGTTTTTAAGTTTTATAATTCTTTGCATTGGCTTGTATTACTGAGGGAAAAGAGATTTCTTTACAGTATGACCAAATTGCATTAATAAATAAACTTTTTTTTAAAAAATACAAAAATTAATGACTTTCTTATCAGAGATCTTTGTTACAGAGAGACTATTTTAAAAGCAAGATTATATATTTCAGCCCGACATGATGAGGAAGGAGAGTTGCAAGCCCAAGCTCTATTTTTAGCATATAGATCCGTTAGTTTAAAAGACAATCAACGTCATAACAGATTTTGTTGTTTAACTAATACTTGCAAATAATAGATGAAGATATATTTTGGCTCTATTGATTTTTTAAAAAAAATTCTTTTGAGTTCAGCAGAATAAATTTATAAGAATCCTTTAAAGTCTATGTGATTAATATGATTAATGAATTAATCATTACTTACAATATCGCCAACCTTCCCGGAGACCCAAATGAAGAATATGCTGTTATTGTTACCCCATGTTGCTTACAAGCCTCAAACAAATCTGTCTGTGGATGATATATGTGACACTGAACCTGAAAGAGAAAGAAAAAACAAAAGATGAATAGAGATACACGACTGTGATATTTCACTGAGAGAAGCACCTTCTCTTTATTTCTGAGCCAAGAATGATTCTAAATTTATACAGTAACTTGCTTTCAGCTTCTTTTACAAAGTTTCATAGGTCTTTTTATGTCAAACAGATAAAAAGAAATTACTGACTCACTTGGTTTGTAACAGGTTTGTATTTGGCCACCTTGCAGATTCTTTCAACTTGTGAGATACTAAAGTTTGACACTCCAATGGATTTTGTAAGTCCTAGGTCAACAAGTTCTTCCATTGCCTAAAAATTGAAAACAAACTCCATTGACATATCACCGAACACTTATGTAAAATATACCAAGATCTAATATTTTTAGTGAGTTTTCCAACTACCTCATATATGTTGTAGAAATCGCTATATATTAACATCCTCTGGATTAAAAATGGAGATAACGAACTGTATTCAAGCTCAAAAGTCCATTAAACAATACAAATTATGGAGCAGAACAAACACAGATCTCTAAAACGTCAGATGCGGGATCAGGTGCCATGGAGGAGTGAGCATCCCCTGCCGACCGGTTAGACCGCCTTGTGCTTCATGTCATGATCGGGGAAAAAACGGAAAAATCCGTTGACAATTCAGTATGTAAATATGGCATAACAATTAGTATGAAAAAGGCCAGTCAGCATTTGCCTTAATGATAGATTGTATTCGCTGACAAGGTTATTGTATAAAACTTGCAAAATGATGCCTTTAAACAAAACTGTTGATATTCTTGTTTCATCAACTTGTTTGTCAATAGCATGCCTCAAAATTGAACGTACGTAGAGCACGCTCTTGCGTATCGAATCAACTGAGAGACATAAACCCTATATGCAGATGATAAGGGTATATTGCTATACAAGTAATAAAATGTCCTTCAAGGTGTTTTAAATGGAGCAGAATTCAACATGACACGAAAGAATTTTCTCTTTCTCTGTCAAAATTCTAACGGTCTAGATAATCTTTTGATGAAAGATGTTCATCGAATAGAACAAGAGTTATTTAACTAAGTACAGTCCCTGCTCGGACTGATACGGGTGTGATTAAGAAGAGGGTATGCATCATTCTCTATAGAGCTAGTAAAATACATAAATAATTCTTAACAAAATTTTGCATGTACACAAGAGGGTCGTAATCCTGGTCTTATACGTAGTTGGAACAGTCATAAGGACCAAGGACCAAAAGGCTTACTGAAAATTTTCCATGCATACAAACATGAAAATTCTTACCACATATCGTGGTCCTATCCCCATGTGATTAACCAAACTTTAACCCACACACCATGGGAATTCTGATATCAATATAGCTTTTCACCTTGCTGTTTTGGGGGAGATTTTCAAAGATTGCTACCTATATAAGTTGTTTTTACATTATGAAAACTTTAATCCCCGATTTAAGCCCCATACCTCCCAACAATTGAACAAACTTGAATCAAGGCGAGGTGAGAATATTTGCATATCAATATGATTTAGAACCGCCCTACTCCTCTTGATTCTTGCTATACCCTATGACTTTTACATATCTTGTCTTTTTCCTCCCTAGAACTTGGTTCTTCATTTTTACAAATATGAATCGGACGTAAATTAGAATAACATATTCATATGAGAATTATATTTTTGGCACAGCTGTTTTGAAAAGAGGATTCTGAATTATTTCCCCTCATGTTTTCATGTCATGACATCCCTTGCATTTACAATGGTTGCAAATCTTGGCGTTTATCACCCCTCACGAATGTTTTATTTCTCTATTTAAGGATGGCTTATTTTTTTATAGGTGGCACGTGAAAAAATCACCTCAAATTATTCTACAAAAAAAAACCCACATTCTTTTGCAATTATGGATCATTCTTCGACATCGAAAAAAGACTCTTCTCATTTCTGAATACATAAGGCTCACGGCAGATGTGGGGGGTCGACAGGAGATGCTTGCTCCTCCTAGGCACCTGATCCCACTTCTGGAATTCCCGGGGGTCTGTGTTTTATGCCCTATTCACAGATTTGTGTTGTTTGTAGTTTATCATTTTAGATTGAGCACTGTTTGCTTTCTTCTTTTTTTTTTATTTGATGGGACTCATTGTTCTTTTTTACAACAGCCCAACTATAAATTTTAAATGAAATTCCGTGGATGCCATTATCATTACTATCGATATTGCATTCTATATGACTGCTTCTATTGATGTTCAAACCTGAGTTTTATAATGTGTTTAAATTTTAGACTAATTTAAAATTTGTTCAATATAAGTCCTTTTTAAACAAAAAAAGTATATTATACAACTTTTCCCACATCGCTGCTCGACTGCCAGTGAGAATATATTCCCTTATGGAAAAAAAAGACTAAGAATATTATGTCATCCTCTGCCTGCGGCATCGAGTGACAATTAAGAAATAAACAACGTTATTCAGTGAACATGGCGTTATGAATAGCAATTGCTCTGCTGGCATATTCCATGACGCTACAAGAATATCAGAGGAAATCCTGGCTTACATCAAAGAGTGACATACTCTAGCTACAAGAGCCTTCCTGTCCCCTTGTAGCAAATTCTCTGGTATGTCGCCCTTGAAGCCATGTGGTATATTTAAAATATCTTTGGACTGCATATTATATCATATATTATTTTACCTATCTTTGCACGCCATATGTTACCAGATAAACTATAATACAAGACACCTTTCCAGTGAATAAGGATGTTTTGTAGCTTGATATAACAAATTATGGATATAAGGAAACCCTGGCGATTCGTTATAACCGTGTTTAGCCGAACCTTCCATGTTTCTATCAGATCCCACTTTTCTGCTGCCTTCCAGGCTCCCGACTCGTTTGTGGGGAAGATGTTGGTGTCGTCCCCTTCGTACTGAAAATTAACCATTCAATAAAATATACATAAAATCCATAATGTTTCTTTTATTACTTGTAAAAATATTATTTGTTCCCAGAAGATCAGACAAGATCATTTGGACACAACAAACACCTGTGTGAACTCTTAAAAACTGTAAAGGAAAAAAATTCACACCAATTGTGATTCTTTTCTTTTGATATTCAAGGCTTTATAATCTTATTTTAAAGATGGTAGTTTACGAAGAACATCGAAAGAGACAAAAAACATTTTATACAGGTTTAAATTTTTGGACAAACATTTTGATAATAAAAGTAGTGAATTTTATACAAGTTAATTTGACTATTTTCTCAAGTGGTTTTTGATTTAATAGTATTTCAAAAAGATATACTCAATTCACAAAATTTAATCAATTTCATTACCACTAGAGGTATAGGGAAGTGAACAAGGTACAGATCTACATATGATAACTGCAGATTCTTCAGACTCAACTTCAGGGATCTCTTCACCAGTTTTGGGTCCATGTGAATCATAGGAAGCTGAAATGAAATGAAGACTTTCGTTCTTGTACCGACAACATTAAAACACTATTTTTTCTTAAGACATGGCCATGTTTTATCTTTCAACTTATCATTTTCTTTAACTTTCTATTTCTAATTAGCTAGAAGATCGATTTTTGCAGTTATAAAACAGACACAACAATGCAATTCCTGAGTCTTGATTAAATATTAGATTGAGATTGTTATATTTGCCTTAGTAACGATAAACAACTCCTCTCTTTTCACTTTTCCACTCTTTAAGTATTCCTGCAGAACCTCTCCAATTGCATCCTCATTCATATAATTGAAGGCCGTGTCAATGTGTCTGTATCCAGCATCCAAAGCCGCCCGCACGGCTATCTTAACCTCATTTTTTGGACTCTGAATAAAATAAGACAGCTGACATGGTTTAGGTTTGGATATTTTTGTCATCTCGCCCAAGCAAAACTATTAGCTTCGTTTGATTTACAGCAATAAATATAAGCACAATCACAGAAAATATTCCTTTTTCACATGAAACAAACTTTTTATTCAGATGTCTACAATGTTTTGATTGAATTTAAGGCACAATATTTGACATTCAGTGTAGATAATAATTTTACAGATAGTATTACTAGTACTCTTTCATTTACCTTTGCTCATGTATGCATAATTTTTGTGTATTATAAAGTATGCCAAGCTACATAAATAAATACAGTGAGTGTAGTTGAAAGCCAAAGATGTTTCTTGATCTCATGAAGAAGTTTTCGAATAAATTCTACTTCACCGGCACAGTAAGTATTATATTCTGAAAATAGACCTAAAAGGCACGAACGAATCACACTATACCACAGTAATAAGGATATGTGTAAATTGTTTGTAAATAAGTATATCCTTGTCTTGACATACGTCGTAATAAATTCATATTATTTGCGTGTGCGATATAGCCGATATCCATGACGTCGCAATAGGATGGACACATGCATTGCTCAGCCATGTATTACTGATATGAAATTAAAGTTTATTTTCCGATTGTGTTTAATGCAGAAGTGAATTATGAATTAACGTTACTTTTGATTTAATATACTATAGAAATGATTTTTCTCTTTTTTTCTATTTAATTTGTTGTAAGACGTTAAGTAAGAAATGGTTTTAAAGGACAAGTGCACTTAAACAATAGAGAATGCGCCCTTTTCAATGACTTTTTAATGCAGTATATATTACCTAATCGTTCCCTGTTGTTAATATCGCCCCGTGTTATTTTCGCTCTTTCACACTTGCAAACAATTTTGTCCCGTTTTAAATTGGCCACGTCACAGTTCTGTTTATGAAATTATACTGAGTTCTTTGAATTCGCCCGTTTCAAATTCGCCCCCCTGTGAATAGGGCAAAAAGGGGCGAAAAAATGAGGGGGGGTGCGAAATTTTTCCCGTATGCAGTAGTTAAACACTTGTGGATATTTTTATTTTAAAATCACGATAAGCATCACCTAAATCAGCATGGATTTAATTAAATGCCTATAGACACTCAAGTCGTACTGAAGTATCGTCTACTGAAATCGGAGGGGGGAGGGGAAGAGAGAGAGAGAGAGAGACATTAAATTTGCACTTGAACAATCTGGTGGTGGATCATCGACGGGTGCCTTTCCCGAATGATAGGTCTTACGTTACTTTTTTTATATAAAAAAAATCGAATGAAACAGTAAAGTTGCTTGTAACCATAGTGATCAAATCAAGAATTTTGACCGATTACATCTGAAATAATACAAAAATATAAACACTATATTCTTTATCAATTTTTAGCTCACCTGAGCCGAAGGCTCAAGTGAGCTTTTCTGATCACATTTTGTTCAGCGTCCGTCTATCTGTAGGTCTGTAATCTTTTCACATGTTCGACTTCATCTCAAGAACCGCTGGGGTAATTTCAACCAAACTTGCCAAAAAGTATAGTTTGGTAAAGGAAATTAAAGTTTGTTCAGATGAAGGCCACACCTTCTTCAAAGGGGAAGCAATAACAAATTAGTGAACAATTAATTGCATATTTTAAAAAATCTTCTTCACAAAAAACACTGGGCCAAAAAAAATGAATGCTAAACTTATATGGAAGCATCCTCTGGGGGTAAGGTGGGGCCACAATGGCCGATCAAATCTTTACATAGGAATACATAGGGAAAATCCTTAAAAAATCTTCTTCTCAAGAACAGCATATCCTTGATTAGTCATATTGATATGGAAGCATCTTCGGGTAGTGTAGATTAAAGTTTGTTCAAATCAGTTGTTCAAATCATGACCCCTGGGGGTAGGGTGGGGTCACAATGGCCGATCAAAGTTTTACATAGGAATATAAAAGAAATTTTTTTCAAATCTTTTTCTCAAGAACAGCAAAGCCATGATTAGTCATATTAGTTCAGAGGCATCCTCAGGTAGTGTATATTCAAGTTTGTTCAAATCATACCCCCCCCCACCCCCCCACACACACACACTTTTATATTCAAACTTTTCAATACTGTACTGATTTCTGCTTACTCCTTGCCAAAGTGCTCAGATGAGTGATGTGGCTAATAAGCCTGTTGTTTAATTACAAAAGAGTATTTAGGTGCATAGAGTGAACTTTCATTTAAGAACATACTTCGATTTATTTAAAACCAGTAGAGCTGAATATATAAGTAACAATGAGTAAAAGAAAATTGTGCAAATCATTTTTATTCAGCGTGGAAATAATTAATTAACTTGAAATAATTATTGATTAATTATTTTTCTATCTGTATTTTTAGGAAACCAATTGAAACAAGCCTTTAACGAGGTTCGTTCCTGAGCTTTTGAGCAGATTTTTGTCTAGACCTCATTTTAAAAAAATTCTGCATAATGTTTTATTTCTTACAATAAATTTTGATTCTGCAATGCTTATTAAACTATATTCAATTAAAATCTCATAATTAAATTCCATACCGAAAGCATTAAGTGAGAAACTATATTTTGTGGCGGAAGGTTTCTTTCGAAATATTTACAGTATTGTTAAGTTTGGATTCATATTTTTTACATGCAGCCTGCGCACAGAATAATTTTGTGTAGTGAAATGTTTTATGCTGGTCCTCAATAATATATAAAATTAACCGTCATGAATTTTATATTTTTATTATAATTTTATTTTGTACAAATATAGCAAATATATTGTGAAAGTCCTGGGAAGTAAATAGCCCATTTTAGACTAAAAATTAACACTATTTTAGGTTTATATAAAATCAACATCACAGACCCCCACTTTTAGTTTTATTTTCTGAATATACAAGATAATTTTAACCATTCCGCTTAAATTCAGAGAAATGTCATTACTTTCAAATGAATTTATTGCTTTTTTTAATGCCAGAAAAATGACATTTCCTGAGTGCAAAAAGGTCAAATAATTGACTATGCGAAGTAATTTGAAACTTTTTTTTTGTTGTCACAAATTTTAAAGAGTCTATTAAAGACGAAAAAAAGACTGTATTTGTTCCCATAATTTATTGGATAAAAATATTAGAGGAAAAACTTTGAAAAATTGATTTATGTGTTAGACGTAATTACAGCGCAAAAAGGTCATATTAAATGCTCCGTAGCGCCAAAAGAAGCGCATTGAACCCCATTCTTGGTTTTGATTTTAATTAAGCTAGGTGTATATATTTCAAAAATATACTTCATAAAAAAATCTTAATACTTTTGATAACAGGATCCAACCTCCTTAAGTTTTTTCGTCACCTTGTTTCTGCACTTTCAGCAAGATTTGACCCAGAAAATCAAACAGAGGTATACAAGACACAATTAAAGAACTGAATACGGAAGAAAAACGAAACCATCACAGAACTAATGCAGGACATAAAGTGACTTGTGAGGATGGCATACCAGAACGCACCTTTAGGTTTCCATGACCAGGTAACCAAAGATTCGTTCATCGAAAATTTAAATGACTAAGAAATGGAATGGGCAGTGTTTCAAGGAAGACCTAAAAACTTAGAAGATGCAGTGCGACTGGCAATGGAATATGCGGCCTTTCAACAAGCACGGGGGAGACGAAATAAAGTTGCAGTGCGAATGCAGGGAGAGGAACCAATGATGACACACATCAAGTAGCTATGATCCACCAAAACAAAGATAAGGAATTTTACAAGAATGGTCCCTGTTTCTACTGCAATGATGCAAATGTGTAAAATGTGCAAAGATGGCCACATCGAAAAAAGAATGCAGATTGCTACAACGAGACCTCAAAGATGAAAAATACAGAAACCAAAGAAAACTTTATTTTTAACTTTTTTTAACTTCATTAATTTGATTTATGTTTTGTAATGACAAAGTGTTATATTTGACATGTTATATATAGGTACAACGTTATTAAGTAATTTTTAAGTGGTTAATTACAAATTAGATATTGATTGTGACGTTATTGGTATCTGACGTTTCATTTACTACCAGATTAATAGAAACGTCCCGGATTGACCATTGTTTCGTCATCCTTATATTAAACAAATAACGTTGTACCAACCAAGTTTATCATTGTGTTTATAATTGGATCATTTGATCGTCGCAATAAATGTTGTACAATTTACGCAGAGTGTTATTCATAACAATTTTGGTGCAGATAGTATTAAAATTGAACCAAAATTAACTATTTTGTCAGTTATTTAGTGGACCAAAAATTTGGTCGTTATTCCGTCTTATATTAATTGTGGACAACCATATCAACCTGGACCAGTTACAGAAAACCAACAGCTACCCATAACCCCATACCCTCGGTTTTCGGTACAGTAATATGAAGATAACGAACAATTATCGATCTTTTTAGTCCATTGAAACCATAAAAAGTAGGAGTAGAGCAACCACAGACCTCTAAAAACTTCAGAGGTGGGATCAGGTGCCATGGAGGATTAAGCACCCCCTGTGGATCGGTATGTATTACTTTCTATATAATCTCATAATTCTTCATTTCTGGCGAACATCAGCACTCATTTTCCTTTGTTATATGCTAAATATAAAAGACGAAAAATCATTAATCCTAGATATCCTCAAATAACCCTGATTAAAAGAATACTAATTAATACTAACCTGCCAAGTGCCCAAGCCTATTATTGGCATTTCCTTCCCATTTTCGAGTTTAATTGTTTTCTTTAGAGTGTCCATGTTTGTAAACACTTTCAAACTGTTACCTGGTTCTCGGTTTTTGTCGAGTTATACAGTTTTTGATTACTTATGCAGTGCTACCGTTTATATAACAGTATCCGTCCACTTGCGAGTACATTATAATTGCGGACATGTGTACATGTATAATTCAATTCCGTTTATTCACTCAAATCCTTGTAAATGGTACATGAGGTAAAATAATTTATAATTGATCGACCAATTTGTGTGAATAAAGGTCTACCTCAGGGAAAATCAATCCAAACTATAAATTTTAGCAAAAATCTACATTGTTTTTTAATATTAACATCTTTTGAGCACACAACTTCACAAATCTCCATAATATTTAATTATTCTAAAACCTATTTACTGGTCGCCCACGTGGCGCAGTGGTTCGAGCGTTTGTTCTCTAGAGTAGCGGAGTAAGGAGTTAATCCTTACGTCGAGGGTTCGAATCCCACTGCATGACGTGAATACTGGTCCTTCGGATGAGACCGTATAAAACGAGGACCCGTGTCGCAGTAGGTACTGGCACGAAAAAGATCCCTCACTGCGAAATAGCTCTGAGTGCCGAGTATAGGTCAAAATTTGCAGCTCTCCACCGGCAGGTGATGCCGTCTCCATATGACTGAAAAATTCTCAAGAGGGACGTTCAACAACAAACAAACAAACAAACCTATCTACCGTTAATTAATTTACAAATTTCTTTTCTTAGAGTTCCATTTGCCTGGTTCAATTGTAAAATGATAGCTTGTTGCTCCAATTTTTTTTCCAGATTTTACTTAATTGACATGAAAAAAGGTTGAATATTTTTCACATACAGAACCTTTTTTTTAAATTATGTAATACTTTCGACGACACATGAACGTCACAATTCCATTTGAACATGTTGATACTTTAACCTTTGTTTGATTGTGATGAATGATTTTTCATATTAAATTCCTAAACTTTGCGAAGCAAAGAAAGAAATTGCCCTTCATTTTGACAATATTACAGGGGAAAATTTATACAAAAGAAAATTCATGAACTTTTCATTCCATCCTTTAGGTTTTCATTTTGTTTAAGTAAATACAAATATACAATTCTAGACAACTTCTTTCATCCAAAAATTTAGCCCTGTTAATCAGGATTTTACAATAGATATTTATGTGTATTTGACCATCGGGATTATTATTTCTTACATTCTTAAAATGCTTAAAAACCTAATATATGAGGGGTTTGAAAACCCCAAATTTCGTAACCATGTAAAAACGCTGTTGAAACAACTCTATGAAACATATCCGTTTACATTTGAAAGGTTTATTTAGTTGACTAATTTTTCGTTACATAACTCGTACATTTACCTTTTGTGCTTGTTCACATATAAGTTGTCTTGTCCTGCATAATGAACATGAACGTAAATACATTTCCAGATAAATATTCCAAAAAATGTCATTATATGTAAAAACAAAAATATTCCTTGTCGCAATCATCCTACCCTTTTAAAAAGAAATATATGGAGATAGCGAACCAATATTCAAGCTCAAAAGTCCATTAAACAATACAAAATAGGAGCAGAGCAAACACAGACCTCCAAACATCAGAGGTGGGATCAGGTGCCATGGAGGAGTGAGCATTCCTTGCCGACTGGCCACACCCGCCGTGTGCTCCTTGTCATGATCGGGAAATAACAGAAAAATACGTCGACAATTCAGTGTGTAAATAATGGCCTAACAATTAGTATGAAAAACGCCAGTCAGCATTTGACTCAATGATAAATTGTATTTGCTGACAAGGTCAAAAGAGAATCTTTTTTTTTACTAATTTTGACTTTTATTCTGATAGAAAATAAGCATTTATAAGACTTAGATCTTTGTTTAAAAATTGAAAAGAAAAAAAAGAAACATCATCATATATTGACCAAAGAAGGTGGTACAGAGGTACTTTGTGTTCTAAGGAAAGAAGAAAAGGGCATATGTTCAAACGTATAAACGGTAAATCTACCCCAAGTGGTAGATTTTGTCAAGAATAATGTTACCACTCAGTTGTTTAAAGATTGTTTATTTTTTAATGTCATTTAACTCAAGGGTAACCAGAAAACCTCTTGACGCTATACTACAAAATACAAGACAAACAGTATTTAGTTCAGCATTTTTACTAAAACATTTTCGATATACAGTGTACAAGTTCTAATTTCTCTTTGTTAAGAACACACCATGAATAATCAAATATAGGCAAACTAGGACAGCTCTACGTGTATCAGAGGTTAAATTATTCATGGATATTAAAACAATCAACTCACACATCTTAAACCTATTTCTATTAGAAATTATCACACAATTCCAATTCAAAATTTAAAAAAATGAAGATGAAATGGACTGTCATTAGGTCTCTTTTTTTGAAAGTCCAAGTACGATTTGCAGAAATAATGCAATTTACATTCATTTGGTTTGTTAACTTCACCAGGGACGTTCTGGGTGATCCTTAAACCTGAAAAATATGTTTTAATTACGTATAAGAAAAACAATAATAATTATGTATTTGATTGTACTGTCTGGCTCATTTAAATAAGGTAAACTTGAAAGTGGTTCGATGTACCTGTACAGTAGTATGTTAGAGAAATTAACTTCAATGGTCGATGATTACCACAAAATGTTGTTAATATTAAATGAGTGTAATTATTAACTGATCTCTTCTTTTATTGCAATAATGTAAGACGGAGCAGTAAATAAAGTCCAGTATATTTATGGAGGACATAACGGTTGAAAAAGCAGGTAACTGGAAAGGACATAATAAAAATGGAACTACATGTATCACTTACATCACACCCATACTATCGAAGTAGCGGAGTCTAGTTTTAATCTTGTCAATCTCTTCCATGTCCTCTTTTGATAGAGAAAAATCAAAAACCTGCAATGAAAAGGAAAATAAACCTTTATTTTTCTTCATAAGGTTAATTTTTCATCTAGTTAAATATCTACAATCATTCCTGAGAATGTCCTTCAAAATAGACCACCCATGAAATGGAGAATTCATCGAATACTTTAGAAAGCATACGAAAGAACTGAGTCATAGTATCGGGTCTTTTTGTTCATCACTTTCAAAATATTAATTTTAATAAATCTTAGTTCTAAGATATGAATAACAGTATACAACCAATATGTATTTCGTGTGTATGTTTTACAAATCATATCACTGGCTTTCTGATAGAAAACTGCCTCTTGATAATGTCCCTCTTGGAATTATAAGACCTGGTTAGGAAATTCACACCATTTCAACAAGGTTTTGAAATAAAGAAAATGTTTGCACATTTCAAATACATTTATATAAGTGTTTACCTGGAAATTGCTACGAATTCTCTCTGGATTTGTACTCTTTGGAATCACAATCATACCTCTTTGGATGAGATTTCGGAGAACAACCTGCAGAGCACACAGTAAACATGAAAAAGAAGTTAAACTAAACAGTAAATTATTATTTAATAATGTTATATGTATATGTTTGAAAAGAAAATATGGTGAGTTGTTTAAGAAATTGTATTAACGTTAAAGACTTCAACAATGCAAACTGTTCAATATTCACTTGGAAAAACGCTCAGAAAATCGACAAAAAATAAGCTTTATGAGGAAATATTTATTATATTATTCAGTATAATGGCACTGTAGCCCTGCATTTTTTTTACTCACAGAAATGCCATGTTATCATAAGTCAGGAGTATTCAATGTAGGTTTCAAATGACATTTTTAGAACACATTTTACATATTTTTTTCAACGAACACTTTGCCAAAGTTTGCAGATACATTGAAAAGGTCAAGATACAATTAACCTTGTTTCTAGGCTGTAATTTACATAATTTGACCCATATTTCAAAATTTACATCACTTGCATCTGCTTTTATATTCATTTTATTTAGATTACGCGATACTTTTAACCTTTCAACACTACATTAATGAAAAGCTTGGCAAAAGAAAATATTATATTGAGTGTTTAGATTTTCATTATCCAAAATATGATATCTTATTAGTGCAAAAGGTCACTAATTTTCGAGCATTAATTGCGAAACATTTTTAATAATATATTACATAATTTTTTTACATTGAAAAAGATAATATTAATTGCCAAGATTACATATAATTGAGGTAAAACTGATTAATATATAAGTGAAAATTTAAGTGCATAAATGTAAAGTTTGCACTGTTGCTCAGTAATATGCATAAAAAATCCAATTTGAGTTATGCAAAACGAGTGAATATTTAAAACATAATATGTATTTGCATAATACACCCATATTGATCACCCAATTACTTAAAAAAGTTCCATATATGACATACATTAATCATACACGATTCAAATGGCTCATATGACTCATTTTAAATGGCTTTATAGTACTATGTTAAAACTCTTGACTGACATGGACCTTTTCATCGCAGTTCAAATGACTGCTTTACAAAGTTTCAAACTGCTGGCAGTTCAGATTTTGGATTTAAGATGTATTGCATTTTACTGTTTTGTCTTTTATAAAAAAAAAAAAAATAGTGTTATATTATTGATTTTAGAGAACAATTGAAATCTAAGAAAAAAGTTTTTGTCGACAGTCAAGAGAGTAGTGGTATTCATCATCCAATTTATTATAATTTTTACGAAGTCTATGCTCTCTTAGGATATTTTTGTGTCTACCATTTTTAATTTTTAATAATTCAATTGTTCTTACTTTCATCACGTTGAACTGTTGTATTTCTACGGAGAAAATTTTCTGTTCTTAATGCCAACTTTCGTTCTTTATTCATTTGTTACGATTATTGGCAGTGTTTATGTCTTTCCAACAGCTTCGTGAAAGATACTGTGTTATAAACTAATATTCTCTCAAACGAATGATAATGTTCTTTTCATGATTTAAATACAGCTTCTGTAAATCTTTTGTTTCTCTCCGTGTGCTTTAAAGGAAATATTTTAATCATATTTTTTTATTTTTAAATTATACAATAAAAATTCTTGTTGAGTATAGAAAAGAAAAATATTCAAATAAATTATTAGACGAAGTTATTGTTGTTAGTGGGTAATGCCGGGGATGACAAGAGATATAACTCTGTAAAGTTGCACGTGTTTTGCGTTTTTATTTCTTACAGGTACATGTAAGAATTTATATTGAATTTAGTACAAATTGAAAACCAAACTAGAAAAAAATATTTTGTAGGTTATAAAAATTAAATAATGAGAAGGATCTTAAACTAAGTTTTCCTGATGTTATTGTTATTATCACATTCTCACGTATTTCGTCTGCACATCAACTTTATACGGGTTATTAACCATGTTAACTGTCAATCAAGTTGTACGTGTATTAAGGTTTATTTTATTTCTAGATATTTTTTTTAACCTGAACAAGTTATCTCTTTTTAATATTCCATGTTTTTCGATGAAATTGAATTATTAGCATTGACTATATAAATAAATATAAAAATTCTTTTTTTAGATTCATATCTCGATGAACAAAATAATTTATATAGTCAATCCTAAAAAGAATGGTCCCTTACTTTGAATTTTGAAATCAGCTGTCTGCTTGTAAATTTTCTTCTTTTAAGGTAAAAATGCATTATTTAAATTTGTGCACTTAGTTATTTTAACGACATAATCAGTCTTAATACTATTTCTCATGTATTTGTCCATTAGGTGATGATAATATGTATTTTTTAATTAAGGTCTGTGAACATCATGCAATGTCTAGAGAATAAGATCCTTCGTATAACCAGTATCAAGATTGACGTTACTTCTATTTTTAGGTTATACTTCTATTTTCTAGGCTATAATTTTACGATGGAAGATATTGCATTCCTTAAAACCTGGTTCAAATATTGCAGTGTACAATTTTAAAAGGGTCGGATAAGAAAGACAATTTTTTCCAATCTTTTTTTCAGAGCAGATGATTCATGTGTGTAATTATGTAAAACCTTAAAGATTCAACTTCATTTAAAAAATTTGATTTTTTGCAAAAAAAGGATCCTCAAAACGAGATTCAACGTATTCTTTAAATCTTGGGGAGAATAACAAGTCCTCATATTGCCTAATTGATTCATGTATGTAAACATCCCTGAGTTATCTCAAAAATGTCGTCATCAAAGTCATATTCGAAAATTTATTTCTACTATTATGCACCAAAAAATGTCCAATCATTTAAAAATAAGACAAGAAATTGTCAAGTTATGCGATAAATATACTTATTTATTTAAAATTTTATTGCTAATTGTTGTACCATACCTGCGCTGGAGTTTTACCATATTTCTTTGCTATTTTCAAGATGACAGGGTCTTCTAAGACAACAGGATCGCTTGCTTGTTTACTACAAATGAGACAAATGTGCAGGTAAGAGTTGATATTATTTTTTAACTCTAAAATTTAAATTATTGTGTTTAGCACCAGTAAATCTTCAGTAGCTTAATATTTTAAAATTCGATTTTGGGAAATCTGTCAAATATTCCTTATCATCTCCGTTATCTCGAACTTCACGGGACGAAGAATATACTTCGAGACATTCGAGATATCCAGGGTAAAAAAAAAACTTAAGAAATAAGCTCTTGGGACTTCAAAATCACTTTGACATATCCATGGTATTCGAAATATCCGTGCTCGAGATACAGAAGTTCAACTGTACTTCAAAATCAAAACAACCATCTTTGAAATACATTGCATTAGATACAAAAAAGATAATCCATTTTTATTATTTAGATTTCAAGATAAATGAACTGAAAAAGAATTTTTAATAATTCAGTTTTACCATGTTTTGTGTCAGACAGAGAAAATAAGTATATTCTTTTTTTTTACCAAAATGGCGTAAGATTTATATTCTTCAACAACTACGTAGAGCATTCCTTCAACAAATAACCATCTCTGATAATATTTATTAGCAATTTCAGCATATTTCCGTTGACTGAACGTTTTAGCTTGGGTTATTACTGGATTACTGCAATATTATTGGATTTTTCATTTCTCCCTTACTGCATTTTAAAACGAACATTTAATTCTTTGCAAGGTTTTGTCCTCTACTAAGACAAACCCTTGTTTCAATACGTCGAGGAAACCTGTTCAATCTTGTCAAAAATGCAAATGTATCTAATGGTTTAAACAAGTATATTGATTGTGTTTTCAGATTGCAAAAAACTTAAATACGAACGGATTCAGGGGTTTTGAGGAGGAACAAATTTTAAAACAAAATCACAGATCATTTTATAAAAGCACCATATTACAGGGAAATTATTAGTTAACTTCTTCAACATATACATCTAAGCCCAATTGGAAAATAGAGTCACAGAATCAATAAATTTGTAATTATTTGCATTCATTAATATTTTTCGCTCTTTTCGTTGTTTTATATTGTTTTAAGGTCAGTAAGATGTTCCAAGAACAATGCTTTAAGGTCAGTAAAACATTTTCATAATAATACTTTATGCGCTGCCTGATAACAGAATTAAGATTGTTTTTTATTTTAATAACTCAAAAGTATTTATATGAAATACTAACATAAAAGCAGGTCTGCCTGGAGAACCGAATGGCGAATATGCTGTAATTGTTATTCCATGCTTCTTACAAGCCTCAAATAAATCTTTCTGTGGAAGATATATGTGGCATTCGACCTAGAAAGAGAAAACCACTAAAAATGATTTTTTTTTTTTAATTCTAGGTCAAGGAATTATCACAATGTTACAATTTTTTGCATAAATTAAGATGTACAACACAGTGGGTGAGCTAAATCTTTCAATTTTGACGTTAATTGTTAAGCATTACAATGACAAGCAATACGATCCTGATGTATTTTAAAGAGAGAAAAGGATTAGTTGGTTGAAAAAAATCCTCTCCTTGTAAACAGACAAAAAAGCTAACTTTCGTCCAAATATGACATGAATGATTTTGAACAAAATGTGCATTCACCTGGTATATTTATATTGTCAGGTATACAATATAGAAAAAGAACTAAAATATTAAACGGTGGGAATTTTGGGGATGAGTGTGTTGTACACATTAAACATTTCAATAGGTCTATTTAAGACTAACAACTGAAAAGGAAATGCTGACTCACTTGGTTTGTAACGGGCTTGTGCTTAGCCACTTCGCAGATTCTTTCAACTTGTGAGATACTAAAGTTAGAAACTCCAATACATTTTGTCAACCCCAGGTCTACAAGTTCCTCCATTGCCTACAAACCAAACACTTTGAAAATTTATTCATTAATTATACTATGATATGTTGATGCAATAGATAACATTATATGCTATTATATCAAATTCCAAACCAACTGTCATCCTTGAATTTAAATTTTTTGTAATATATATATATATATATATATATATATATATATATATATATATATATATATATATATATATATATATATATATATATATATGAATATCCATATTTTATCACATTTCATCATTTTGCTTCCTTTATTCTGAAAATCTTGATAAAAGATGATCTGTGCACAGCGTTTCCACTGACAAAATTCACCTCCACCTTTCTTTACAGAAAAGTTTTGAATCTATCACCTTTTCTACTTTTACTATCTTTCATGTCAACGTCTTTCCTGGCGTTTTATTTACAGAAGGGGAATCTTTTCTATATCCCCTTTTGTTATCATTCTTATTTTTTCCATGAAAAAATCTAACTTTAATTTCAGCTTCCTTCTTAATATGTTAAGACAATTTTAATGAAAAACAAGATGTGTTTGTGAAACACTGGTGCCCCCGTATGGCAACTTATAGCAAAGGTTAAACTTTCTCGAATGCAAATCAAATATGTTGATACCCAAAGTAAGGTCTTCTCTCAAGGAATATACCTGTGAAATATGAAAGCCCTAACAGCAACCATTGAATAGATATGGAAAAGTTTTAAGTTTTTTCAAAAGTATGACAAACATCAAGGTCAAGATCAAATGGTCAAAATTAATGGTGTTCAAGGAAAGGCCTTCTCTCAAGAAATACACGGGTGAAATATGAAAGCCGAAGCATGAATCAATCTAAAGTTATGACCAAGGTTAACGTTTTTCAAAAGAAGGTCAAACTCCACGATCAAGGTCAACGGATTACAATTGTTGGTATCTAAAGGAAGATCTTGTCACAAGAATTATATTTGTAAAGAATGAAAGCACTAGCACCAACCGTTCAAAAGTTATGGCCAAGGTTAAAGTTTTTCAAAAGTAAGTCAACTCCAAGGTAAAAGAGTCTAAGTTGTTGGTATCCAAAGGATGTTCTTGTCACAAGGATTACACGTGTGAAAAATGAAAGCCCTAGCACCAATTGTTCAAAAGTTATGGCCAAGGTTTGATTTTTCCGAAAGAAGGTCAAACTCCAAGGTCAAAGGGTCAAAGTTGTTGGTATCCAAAGGAAGTTCTTGTCACAAGGATTACACGCGTGAAAAATGAAAGCCCTAGCACCAATTGTTCAAAAGTTATGGCTAAGGTTTGATTTTTCTAAAAGTAGGTCAAACTCCAAGGTCAAAGGGTCAAAGTTGTTGGAATCCAAAGAAAAGACTTGTCACAAGGATTACATATGTGAAGAATGAAAGCCCTAGCACCAACCGTTCAAAAGTTATGGCCAAAGTTAAAGTTTTGCAAAACTGGGTCAAACTCCAAGGTCAAAAGGTCAAATACGGTGGTACCCAAAGAAACTCAAAGTTATGGGCAAGGTTAAAGTTTTTGCGGACAACCAGACAAACAGACAGACAGACGGACGAACAGGGCAAAAACTATCAAATTTTATCTTTGATACATGGCTACAAAACTTATCGAAAAGTGAATACAAGATAGCCTTTTTATTCATCTTTTTTTTATTTGGAAAAGGTGACTTTTGTGCTATGAACTTTATTTCACTCTACCTTCCATGTTCCTATCAGATCCCATTTGTCAGCTGCCCTCCAGCCTCCGGCCTCATTTTGGGGGAAGACGTTGGTGTCGTCCCCCTCGTACTGAAAAAATAATTGCATGTAATCATTACTATGTACATAAAAGAATTATTTCATATTTGTAAGAGATATGATTATTCCCCTATGGTAAAACAAGATCGTTTTGACACCCAGACTTTTTTCGAAAACCATGAGAAGATACACTATACACGGTCCAGTACCGTAAGTCTTCTTTTTGACAATCAAGATTTTGATCTTCATTTTTCATAAAGAAGAGTTGGTTACAATATCCCCAGAGATACAACGTCTTAAGACGGGTTTTATTCTTAGAGACTTTCCAAAAGAAATTCACCGAAAATTGAAAATTTTGATTTACTTTTCTGGTGGTTGTCATATTGTTCATTTTTTTTTTCTTTTTTTTTTTTTTTTTTCTTTTTTTTTTTTTGCATTCTATGTAACTTTTAAATAATTATAAAGAACTAGTTTTACATTCAATTAACAAGATGAAGACAGATTCCTTACCACTAGAGGTATAGGGAAATGAACAAGGTACAGATCTACATATGATAACTGCAGATTCTTCAGGCTCAACTCAAGGGATCTCTTTACCAATTTTGGGTCCATATGAATCATTGGAAGCTAAAATAAGTCCTTTGTTTTTGTAGCGGAAACATAAAAAGAGAGACGAAATAGTAAAAAAGCTCAATTCCTTCACTAGAAAGCACATTACATTCGACATTCGTACATGTATATCTTTCAACTTAAATTTTCTTTAAATATTGATTGATAATAAGACGATCGATATATATATTTGAAAATAAATTCGCAATTCCTGCATCATTTTATCAACATATGAATGGTCAGAGCAATTGACCCAACACTTCTGCTCTGATACTCTGTTGCTTGTTATATCATTCGTGTTACATCAAATAATAAAATGTAGTTAAGTTATAGTTGCCTTAGTAACAATAAACAATTCCTCTCTTTTCACTTTTCCACTCTTTATGTATTCCTGCAGAACCTCTCCAATTGCATCTTCATTCATATAATTGTAGGCCGTGTCAATGTGTCTGTAATCAGCATCCAAAGCAGCCCGTACGGCTGCCTTAACCTCATCTTTTGGACTCTGAATAAAAACCAGAAAAGCAAATATGTGCTTATTGCTAGATTTTTGATTTTGTTATATGTACACTGTAAGATTACAAAACAATGTTACTTTTACATGAAAAAATAGCTTGTACTCAGATTGTCATGAATTCGGGGTTTCGTTTAAGGCACAATGTTTTTCTTTCAATATGGCGATTTTAATTTTGACAGATAGTGTTACGTTTGCACTAAGAGTAATACACTTAAAACTCAAATATTCAACATTTTAAACTTTTTTTTTCATGTATGCCTATGTTAGGTTATGTACATATATATCTTCTAAGAAGAAAGTTCAAGAAGACATTACTGAAATAATGTAAGGTACAGCTATGATAATTAAATATATTAAATCATCTTTCAGTATATCTTTAAATAAATTCATAAATCTGCGACAAAACGAACTGAATACAACAAACCTGCCAAGTACCCAGTCCTATAATTGGCATTTCCTTCCCATTGTTAAGTGTGATGGTTTTCTTCAGAGCGGTCATATTTGTAGATGTCTTTTTTTATCCCGGCTACTCGATTCTCGTTTTTATTTTTTGGTTGGATTGTTTCTATGTCCTAAAACATCACCTACCGCTTTGTTCTAATGAATGTCCCAATCAATAAAGCGTCCATTATCGAGGTTATAGCACACACTGCAGGGAGCAATTTAAAACGCATTTTTTACTACACTTCACAAGTATTGTCCTAAAAAGTATGTCCGTCGTGTAAACGTTATTTTTAAAATTTTTCTCTCTTTCTCTTGATCATTGGATGATATATGAACTTATTACAGGGACTTTTTAGTATAGTGTAGAACAGCTCATGGGAATATGATATGGCAGGGCCCTTGAATTGCAATGCTATCTTTTGTGTCATCGGAATCTCTCTCTCTCTCTCTCTCTCTCTCTCTCTCTCTCTCTCTCTCTCGTTCAAATTTAATATCAAATACTGATTTAAAACTGTAATATAAAAACGTCTCCCTTCTTCAATATTGCATTTTCTATTTAAAACATATCTGTACCGGTTAACATTATAGCAATGAACTTGACCTATATCCAATGTGTTTACAATAATAAGGGCAACGATTTTTAAGTGCGTGCACACTGCAGAAAAATACGCCGGGTTGACTTATCGGTCATTCATAATGTTTAATCATTACATAAAGTTGATATAGTACTGTTAGATATCTCTCCAGAACCAGTCGTATTTATCTGCAGAATAAAACATTCAAAATAAAATTCTATTCATAAAGATTGATTATACTTTCTACTTGTTGCACATATAGATATAGTGACTTAAATAAGCAGTCTCTGACATAGGCATAGGCAATGGATTGATTTATGTTGCTTGGCGTCTAATGGGAAGCATTTTACCTCTATATCAACCTACTTGCTGTGTTGTGAATGGGTGCCATACATTACATAGTGTATGGATGAGTTATAGAGGAAAACACAATTTTTATGCCCCCTTATTGAAGATTCGGGGGTAAATAGTGTTTGCCCTGTCCGTCTGTCTGTCTGTCAGTCTGTTTGTCTGTATATCTGTGTGTCTGTTTTTCCGCAAAAACTTTAACATTGCTCAGAACTTTTGATGGTTAGAGCTATGGCTTTCATACTTCACATGTGCATTTCTTGTGACAAGACTTTTCTTTGGGTACCATCACATTTGAACTCTTGATCTTGGAGTTTGGCCCAATTTTGCAAAATTTTACAGAAATGTAACCTTGGCCATAACTTTTGAACAATTGGTGCTAGGTCTTTCGTACTTCACATGTTTGAACCTTGTGACAAGATCTTTCTTTGGGTACCATCATCTTTGACCTTTTGACCTTGACCTTGTAGTTTGACCTACTTTTGAAAAACTTTAACCTTGGCCATAACTTTTGAACAGTTGATTCTAAGGCTTTCATACTTCACATATGTAATCTTTGTGGCAAGACCTTCCTTTGAATACCATGAATTTTGACCCTTTGACCTTGACATAAGAGTTGACCTACTATTGGAAAACTTTAACCTTGGCCATAACTTTTGAACGGTTGGTGCAAGAGCTTTCATGCTTCACATATGTAATCCTTGTGACAAGACCTTTCCTTGGATACCAACTACTTTGACCTTTCACCTTGACCTTGGAGTTTGATCTACTATTGAAAAACTTTAACCTTGGTCATATCTTTTGAACAGTTGGTGCTAGGGCTTGTCTATTCCTTGTGAGAAGACCTTTCTACTTTTGTAAAATTTTACCTCGGCCATAACTTTTGAACGATTGGTGCAAAGGTTATCATATTTCACATAGGTGAGAAGGCCTTCCCTTGGGCACCATTAATTTTGACCATTTGACCTTGACATTGATGTTTGACTTACATTTAAGAAACTTGAACCTTTTCCATATCTATTCAATGGTTGCTGCTCGGGCTTTCATATTTTTACAGGTATATTTCTCGAAACAAGACCTTACTTTGTGTACCAACATATTTGATTTACATTTGAGAATGTTTAACCTTTGCCATAAGTTGCCATACTGGAGTATCAGTGTTTCACAAACACATCTTGCTTTTACTAAATTTTATGCAGTCTATACAGTCAATTAAAAAAACAGGGAACAGCAAAGCCAAGTATCCCCTAGCAGTAGGAATGCAGTTTCTGAGTTTCACAATGAATTGAATTGGATTAAATATAGTTTTCACATCATTATACATACCATTCCCTGTCCTTTACCTTTTACTCAGTCTATAGTTCTAGAATCAATAGATTTCTGCCGATGAATGAGCCATGCAACTCTGTGGCTTGTATGAAACTGGGGGAATAACAATGCAATGCACTCTTTTAATTGTGACCATAACATAAATCTTGAAACTATTACTGACTTTAACCTTGACCTTTGACCTTTTGATCATGGATTCACAGGCTTCTATCTCTGACCATCAAGCATATATGTTACAAGGATGAGACGCAAAGCTCAACAGTACTTAAAAAACCGTGTTCACAATACTCAACTAATAGATTCTTTGACCTTCAACCCCTCAAATGGGGAGGTCCGCTTTCTCTGCCATTTACCATTTCTGCGGCAAGTTTGAAACTAAAAGAGTCAATTGGTACTATTACATTCCCTAATACACTCTTAAAGACTTAGTTTATTTGACATGCATTTAGACCTTTCTTCCCAAAAATAAACAGACGTCTTCGGAAGTTTCAGACTGAAAGCCCGCAACAAATAAACAAGAAAGACTTATAGTGTATCTCTGACATGACTTTTGACCCTCAATTTCAGGGACACATTTTACTGGTCATTTCCTACCTCTCTAGCAAGATCAATGAATACTTCAAATATAATGTCCATAACATTGTTACGGAGTAACGGTAAATGCCCCAATTGCATAAAATTGTTTTCCGCTTTACCTGCACTTCTTTGGCAATTTTGAGACTGAAATATCAAATAGTACCTGTACATCGTGTCCCAGAATTGTTAGGGACACGCAAGGGCGTATGTACGGGCCAGTTATTTAGAAATGCGGACATTTTATTCTCATATACTGGAAAATACTATAATTGATGAAAAATTTTACAAAAAAAAAACAATTTTTTGACATCTAATGTTACTTACGAACAAACAGTAAAACACGTTTTCATGTAAACAAATGACAAGAATCAAGCACGTTCCACTTTCTCAAATGCACAAGCAAAAAATTCCAAGGATCATCAGCAAACGTATTTCTACAGTTGTGAGAGATATCTGCCATATTTCAAAATAGAACAGAGAGTAGGATACAAACATAAGAAAATCTATCTTAAAGTCATCGAGTGGATGAATTTAAATTAGGTACATGTGTAATACCCCAAATATTTGCACCTGTAGTTATCGAAAGTAACTGAGCCCAATCAAAATCCGACAGCAAAAAAGAATATGAAAACAATATTTAAAGCAAACAAGATAAAATTTCTTGTTTAAATAACTGATCCTGACAAAAGTTGAGAACAAACTGGAAAAATATTTATGAAATTAAAATATAAAAAAAAACTTTCTTATAAAGTATCTAGTCATGCTATTTTCCAGGTTCATATTTAACCTTAATTGCATCAATGTCATGGTACAATATTTAAGAAAGGTCAACCATGTGTGAAATTTATCATTCTATTTCTAGCGATATGAGTAGGAAAAAACTCTAAAATCAACTGCTATACGGAGTGTTTATCTCTGATATATGAACCTTGATCAAAGTCACAATAAAGAAGTAAATGTTCACTAAGAAAGTTCATACAACTCGTATCAATCCATTCTCCTTAGTGTTGTCAAAGATATAGGCAGAAAAAATTATGATCAGACGACACGTTTCTCAATAATATATAATAATCCCTAGAGAATTTGTCATTACAGTAATGATACTTTTACACGTTTACTTACAGAAAATGAGGTACCTTACCTTACATTTCTGCAAGATACCAGAGAAGTATTTCATATATAATCCTACTGGATATCACTTGAATTGGCAATATCATAGATTTTTTGCGTATTTACTCTTTAAGACATTTTGAATACAGTTTAGAAATCACATGATGGTGATAATTATTAATATTTTTATACATTATGAAGAGATAAAAAATAACAGATATTCGAGGAAAATTCTGACTTAAATCCCTATGTTTTGAAGATTAGGTGTTTTTTGTTGTTGTTTTTTTTTTTTTCAAAGCGGCCATGCTATTAAGCGCTTTTCATTAAAACTGTAGTAGTAGTTGTCGGTTTCTGTTCATTTATACATTTTATAATTACTTCGTCATCAAAGATTACCTACCGCTATGTTAAAAAGATTGCTCAAATCAATATTGCACGATTGAAGTTTTATGTAAATCAAGCCCGTAGGAAACAATTTCAAAGACCACAACCAAACATTTTTAGTTTGAGGTGGCATTACCATACAATAATTTGTAAAAAAGCAAAAAGAAAAAATTCAACACACACGTAATTCTTGAGGGGGCACATTCATAAAGTAGCTTTGTTTTCTATGGTATACTATTAAATCGGCAAAATTAAGGGGGCATGCCCCCCCCCCTCCCGTGTCCACTTTAAGATTTTTACAGGCCAGTATACAAAAATTAAAAGATACACTACTCAGTAATGTCCAAAAATTCACAAACATGTAATCATTGTTTTTAAAGCTACTAGTACTAGTCTCTTTCTTTTGATGACTGATTAATACACGATTTCTTTTTAGACTAATTCCTTGAAATTTGATGTGCCCGTGTCCTTAGCATACAATGATATCGTTTTTGTAAGATAAAAAGCTGTGTACTACTGACAAATATCTTTATGGATTTATGCACGATTGAATCCAGACAAGCTGTTTTCTTTTAAACTGTGTAAAATACAATTATCAAAGAAGATATATTTCTGGACTAGATAGAGAAATAAATTTCTCAATATGAAAAAAGTACACCACTGTTATAAAAAGAAAAAAATGTAACATATCTATAAGTTTAAAATAATACCTTATAAATGCATCAAAATGATATTTTTTCATAATGCTTACATGTATGAAATGAATCTAAATTTACTTTCTTTGATAACACGTTTAAACCTTTACTGGTCCTCCAGGAGGCGCTCGGTTATACATGCATGATTGTATGATAGGAACACATATTTTTAAGCTTGTGTATTTGTGCAGGGTTATCTTATTAGTATATTTAAAAAAATAAATGAAATTTTTAAAAAAAACTTGCTCTTTTTTCATTGACAAGGTTTTAAATAATATGTCTAGCTTTTAAAGTTATTTTAGGAATATAAATGACTTCATTTTAAGTATCTTTTTAATATTACATGTATAATTTTTGCGTTGCAAACAGGCGTGTCTACCTCTGCATTTCACAAAATCTTGGTCAACTTGCAGTGTACAATATTACATTGGAAAAAATAAGAAATATTATTATACCTCTACTGATTTTTCCCTTATAAAATTAGATCGTTAGATGTGAAAAGTTCATTAGAAATCGCTGTGAATGGACTAATCGCCGTTTTGTCTTGTTTTAGTCATTTGAGCTAATCCCTGCTTCCAAATTTGTATCGGTATGATAAAACAGTTGAAAAGTATATAATTGAAGAAGTCAGCAAGATTCCGTTTCCCCAATGCCAGGGCTATTTCCTGAAGCGAAGGATATAATCCTGGACCCGGAAACAGGAATCTTGCTAACCTTAGTGATATGCATTGACTATATAGGAATCTTTCTAAAAATGTGTTTTTCAATATATTTTATCAATATAAACGTAGTGTATATGTTCAAATTTATTAGAATAAAAAATTGCTTTTTAGGCAAAAATGGATCTTAAGAAGAGGTTTAAAGTAATATTCAGAAATGCATTGAAAAAATATTCTAATCTCTTCGCGAGGACAATGTTGCCGCATTTAGTCAAACTGATACTTGAAAGTAAGCATCCCTAAGTAAATGAAAACCTGTCTTCATCAAACCCAACTTTAGCAAATGTATTACTCTTAATTGTTCGAAATGCATTAAAAAATGCTTAATTGCTTTGAAAATAAATCGAAAAATTGTCAAATTATACTACAAATTTTCAAAGTGTACTATGTTTTAAATTTCCATGCACCTATAGCTTTCCATTTTTTGATGTTGTTTAAAATGTTGTTTTCTATATAATTTTCTTTTCTCGGCTAGTTTTTGATGCATACCTGAGCTGGAGTTTTCCCATATATTTTGGTTAATTTCACGATGACAGGATCTTCTAAGACAACAGGATCGTCTGCTTTTTTACTACAAATGAGGCAAATATGCATGTATTGGTTCTTCCTTTATATCGAAAGCTTAATTCATTATGTTGAACATGAGGTCGATAAATCTGCATGTGAATAAATGTAGTTTTTTTTTTTTTTTAGGTTTCTATGGAGGTCTAAATTATGCATTCAAATTTTCTAATTAGATTTTTTTTTCTATCTAAGGGCAACAGTTTCTCTTTAACAGATTTCAAATTCGATACAATTGACTTTGAAATACATGTATTATGCGTAAAATATATAAACCCATATTATTATATTTCGATATATATACTGATATTTAAAAGGTGTTCAAATAACTTGATTATTATAATATAAAGATCGAAAGGAAGAATAATATTCCTTTGAACCAAAAAAATCAATGGAAAAGTTAAAACAAAAATTCAACAATTAATAAGATATTCCTTTAAGGAGGGATTTTTGTCAGGTTTCCGACTAATCAAAATATTGAAGTATATTTGCATAAATTTCCTTTATATTGAGATGTCAGGAATTTATAAAATCATATTTTTCATTCCTTCTTACAACTCTACAACATGACAAAGAAATGTAACATTAAGTTTAAAATCTAGCAAGGACTATATTTTCTGCGGAATAATAGTATCACAATCTTTGCTTTTCAAATTTACTACAGATTTATGAACTTAGTTCATAATTTTGAGTAATCAAAATCTTTAAGGATTTTCTGAGGTGAATGAAATTTATATTTTGGAGTTTAAGTTTTAGAATATATTAAATCAGTAATATTTTCCAAACAAACTTTAATCTTGTTAGCTTTTTAAGCGTTCAATCTATAAACAAATTTGACTGATAAATTCACTACAAACTGTTTTTCTCTCTTATTTAAGGTCATTTTTTTTTCATTTTGTGTCAGTATCTCAAGTCTTCGCCAAATGTGAAAATAAGAAAAATATAAAGAAAAACTTTAAAGAAAATTGTAGGAAATTCGCGTTAACAAATATCTATCTTTAGTTAAAATATTTATCTCAGTTTGATAGTGTTATCTAATACATCTTACGTTGTATTGTCTTTTTATGCAAAAAGATGAACAAATAATACTTTTAAATTGAAGTGGGCATTACATGATATGCAGCAATAATTTTAATCCTTAATGTCGCAGAAAAACATGATGATCTTGACCTGACCTTGATACTAAAATAAAACGGTCAATTCTAACTGATATGATACCATCACTTAGTAATATTGTCTTCTTGATTGTGAGAGCATTACATGAATTTTTTAAGTACAATAAATATAAGAATCCATCTGTTGTGTATTTGTAATGCTTCTGGTAGGATCACTGTAGTTTTATTATTGCAAGGAACACGCCATTAAGCGGAAGTACCATTTCTTGAAGCACACTTACAATACCAATGAGATTACACATTACATATCCGGAAAGATATACTACACCATCCTTAATATATATAGTCGTCCTTGAACACAAAAAGTGCATTCATTTTAAATGCATTAGAATGTAGAATGTACGCTTTAAATGATATTAGCATTATGAGCACATTGCCGATGATGAAACGTTTTAACTTAAAATATTACTGGCATAATTTCTCTTTATCCTATTTCAAAACTTTGCAAGGCTTTGTCGTATACTAAGGGGAACGAAGTCTCTTTTAAATGAGACAATAGAACCTGTTAAATCCTGTTTAAAAGACCCTGATGTCAACCAGTCTATTGTTTGTTATCTTTTAGAAGGGAGAGGGGGCTAAAATAAAATAATTTAAAACAATGTATCACAGAATTTTTCATCAGAACATTTAATTACAGAGAGGGAGAGAGAGATAGTATTCACTGTTTTAGCCTAATATGAGGTTGGGCTTTGCAAGCTCCGAGTATGCCTGCAGATCCGCCAGTTTCAATGACGATATTTTCTGGCTTTATTGCTACTTCAAAAATGTGTTGAGTTCATCATATTATTCTCAATAGAATATTTTAAACACTTTTGATCAATTAATCAGAAAACTATTCTAAAGACTGCATTGTTTTTTTTATCTGGGATACTAACATTTCCGCCGGTCTTCCTGGAGAACCGAGTGGAGAATACTCTGTAATTGTTACTCTGTGCTTCTTACAAGCCTCAAACAAATCTGTCTGTGGGAGAAATATGTGACTTTCCATCTGAAAAGAGAAAAACAAACAAAAAAATTCAAAATTGAAATTCACAGCTGTGATATTTCGCGGTGATAAGTGTATTGTTTTTAATTGTAGGCCAAGCCATTATTATGACTTTTTTTTGCATAGTTTATCATCATTAAAGGGGTTTTTAGTCCCGTAACGGTTAAACCGGAGGGGACTATAGATTTCTTCTGAGTCTGTCCGTCCGTCTGTCTGCCTGCCCGTCTGTCTGTCCCTCTGTCTGTCTGTCAGTCTGTCCCACTTCGTTTTCCAAACTTTTTTCTAAATGCTTGCAGATATTGAGCTGATTTTTTGGTTTGCGAGTGTATCTTGTTGAGTTATAGATCAAGTTCGCATTTAGTTCCGCTTCATAGATTTTTGACGGAATTATGGCATTTTCAATGTTTAAGGGGAACCAGATTACACTTGCCGGTAGGGGAATAGTATTGCTAATGCAACACTCTCAGATTGCTTGTTTTTATTGCAAACAGCTGAAAGGGAAAATCTTTCTCACTTGGTTTGTAACAGGTTTGTGCTTGGCCACCTTGCAGATTCTTTCAACTTGCGAGATACTGAAGTTAGACACTCCAATAGAATTGGTCAATCCCTGGTCTACAAGTTCCTCCATTGCCTATAAACCAAACATTTGAAAGACTTACTTCAACAGGACATTAAATTTAAAACAAGCCATGATACACATGTATCTTCATGCATTACATTATATTATATGCTATTATGTATTAACTTCCATGTCCGTTGTCATCAGATATGCAATAATTAAATACACTTTTAGGCTAATACAGGAAATAGAGATTCATAAAAATCAAGAAATCATATCTTTGGCCCAGTATTAAAAAAATATTTTTGGCTTTTTGAACAAATTATAGATATTGAAGAAATCAGGTATCATTTTTAAACATCTATCGGGTTATAAATACGGGTTGGTCACGAGATCAAATTCCATAAAGCCCGAAGGGCTTTATGGTAAATTTGATCTCGTACCAACCCGTATTTATATCCCGATAGATGTTTTAAAATGATACCATATTACTTATATTTACATTTTGACTTATTCAAATTATATATTAGCCTGATATTAACCGTTAAAGCGTGAAATGTTTTATTTTTTCAAACTCAACGGCACGAGTTTGATCTTTGGATTGCGCGTCGACCCTTTATGACGTCACTGACAAATTACGTGGAACGTTTATGACGCGTGGAACCTGTGTTTATATGGATATAGATACGCGTTGCTTTTGATGTGTTTTATAAAAGAAAACATTTGCAAATGTAAATATAACGTAATAATTAAGGCCGACTCTGGCGCTATATCCCTTTTCACTGCACCTTCCAAGTTCCCAACAGATCCCACTTGTCTGCTGCATTCCAGTTTCCGGCTTCGTTTTTGGGAGAGACATTGGTGTCGTCACCATCGTACTGAAAATTAAGGAACATTCAATAGTCATTGTATGTATATATAAATCTTTTATTAAAAGTTATGATTTATTCCCCCATGGTATAACAAGATCGTTTGGACACTGGAAACATCTGCCGAGTCTGACCTATTCCTGATTTAACCTTAAAAAATTCTCTGTCGTCCAATACTATTGGATTGTCTTCTTTTGACAATCAAGACTAAATTTGGTTTAATTTTTTTTAATTATCCAGAGATACAATTGCTTTAGATTGTTTTTATTTCAAAATTGATTGTAAAATGGAAATTTTATTCAAGTTTATAGACCCCTTCCTTCTGGTAGTTTTCATATTGTGCTTTTTTTCTAATTCTATGTAAGTTTCAAATGAATTATAAATAACAAGTAAATCAAAAATCTATGTTCAATTCACAAGATAAAAACAGATTGCTCACTACTAGAGGTATATGAAGGTGAACGAGATACAGATCTACATATGATAACTGCAAGTTCTTCAGACTCAACTCAAGGGATCTCTTCACCAGTTTTGGGTCCATGTGAATCAATGCAAGCTGAATAAAAACAAGGCCTTTGTTTTTGTAGCGGCAACATGAAGCAAATGTTAAAAAAATTCTTCTTTGTTTTCCTTTAGCACATTGCATTCGATATTCTTGTACATGTATCTTTCAACCTAACCTTTTCTTTAAATATTGATTCTTGAGCTAATGTTATTCGGAGATCGATTTATACATTTGAAAAAGAGACATTAAAATGCAATGCTTGATTAAAGTAACAAATTCGTGAAGTCAAAATGACAAAACAATTCTTGATTGAATTCCCAAATTTGTGAAAGGACAAACCAGTTGACCATATATTCTTACTCTGTAACTCCGTCTACCAAATACTGTATATGTGGTAATTAACCGTGGGGTAATTTACATGAAATAATCGATCAGAAATTTTCGTGTAAATAATCAGTGTACGAATACTTTTGTATATTTTTTATTCAGTATTATTAATACCCCAACTTCGTACTCTCGGAAATTTATCCTTAAGCGTATAGTTTTTACTACTAAATCGCGTAATTAACATGCGTTAATATCCACGATTACAGTACTAGAATGTGATTATGTTATAGTTGCCTTAGTAACAATAAACAATTTCTCTCTTTTCACTTTTCCACTTTTAAAAATTTCTTGTAGAGCCTCTCCAATTGCACCCTCAATCATATAACTGTAGGCCGTGTCAATATGTCTGTAGCCAGCATCCAAAGCAGCCCACAAGGCTGTCTTTACATCATCTTTTGCAATCTAAATGAAATAGAATAGGAAATATATGCTTATTGTTTGGTGTTCAGTCTGAATATTGTGTACAGCTTTACTCTTTTACATTAAACAAAAACCTTTAATCAGATTTTTGTGGATATTTGGGTCTTGTTAAAGGCACAATGTTTGGCTTTCAATTTGGAAATTCTAAATTTGACAGATATTGTTAATCTACGCAATATGGCTTTAAAAACAAAAAATTTTCATTAAAAATAGCTTGAAAACTAAAGATTTTTATTTCATTTTTATGCTTTCAGCTCAGGTGAGCTTTTCTGATCACCGGTTGGCCTGCGTCCGTCCCTATGTTTGTCTGTAAACTTTCTATATTTTCAACATTTTTCATGGGAAAGCTTTCTAGGGTAGTGTAGATTCTGAATTGTTCATATCATAGCCGCCGGGGCCGGGGGCAGGGTGGGACCATAATAGGGAATCAAACTTTTTTTAAATAGGCTTTAAAAATCTTCTTCTCGAGAACATGATTTGGAGGCCCGGGTTCGATTCTCGTTCGCCGCGCGATAAGATGGAAATACAGGTAGTGACTGTTCCTTCACCAAGCGCCCGCATTTTGAAGTGAAGTCACGGATCTTTCAGATGAGACCTTAAAAACCAAGGTCACGTGTCACAGCAGGCGTTGGCACGATAAAGAACCCTCACTTCACAATGTCCCTGAATGCCGAGTTTAGGTGTAAGTTTGAAGCCCTTCAACGGTACATAGTGACGTCTCTGTATGAGTGAAAAATTCTCGAATGGGACGTAAAACTACATACAATCAATCAGTCACAAGAGCCACTGGGCCAAAAAAGCTTCCTGGGGTAGAGTAGATTGTTAATTGTTTAAATCATGTCCCCCTGGGTGTAGGATGGAGCCACAATAGGGAATCCAAGTATTACAGTTAATGGCCTCTTATATATCTGCAAATAATATTTTATTTAATTACAAAATACATTTTTCATTGTATAAAATATTACTTGATCCGCCTCTCACTGCATACAAACTGCGTCAAATTTTACGATATGACGTCACATTGACAAGTGCATTGCGATCAGTGAATTGTTTATATATTGCTGTGTTGGATTTAACCAACGACAAAAATACATGCAATAGTAAGTATTGATGTAGTTTAAAGCTACCCAACAGTTTAAAATAGCATATTATTTCATTTTGTGTGATGTCTTAGTAAGCATTTCCCGTAAAAATTAGACCTCGCCTCCTTATTTCAGCCTTAACTGTGCTACGATGTTAATGTTGAACAGTCAGACTTTGAAAAGAAACCCTTGCTATTATCCCTGAAATATGAGAAGCACCCTTTTGAGGAAAAACTACCACACCCGGCACTTACAAATCTATTGTTCAAATTAAAATGCAAGATGTTTAAAAAAAATAAACACCACACAAAAAATGTTATCCATGAAATTTTAAACGATGAAGATGTACTTACTCATGACCTGGTGAACTGTGCGCTTTTACGCAAATCTTTATATTTCAAAGTTAATGCCGAGCGAAGATACTGATCTATATTTAGATGGTTGCAACGTGATTGTTTTATTGTGTGTTGTTTTACGTCCCGTTCGAGAATTTTTCACTCATACAGAGACGTCACCATGTACCGGTGAAGGGCTTCAAATTTAGACCTTTACTCGGCACTCAGTGCCATTGAACAGTGAGGGTTCTTTATCGTGCCGACGCCTTCCGTGACACGGGGCCTCGCTTTTTGAGGTCTCATCCGAAAGACCTGCAACTTTCACTCCAAAGTGCAGAGCGCTTGGCGAAGGAAAAGTTGCTACTTATTTTTTTTTATCGACTTAGGTCAGTCGCGGCCGTGATTCGAACACACGACCTTCCGATCACGGAGCGAGTGCTCTACCAACTGAGATACCTTGACGATCGGTTGCAACGTGAACAAACTTATTAACAAGGATGGAGACATCTCCTCAATATCGGAATGAAAGGAACGAAATCATATAAATCCCCTGATCTAGACAGAATACCTAATGAATTTTATCAATGTTTTTCGAGATCAATTATCTCCGTTATTTTATGAAATGTTACAGGAAATATTTTCCTGAATGGTGAAATGGCATTTTCACACAGACTTGTGGTTATTTTCCTTATTTACATAAAAGAGGAAAAAATGTTTTAGCAAAATAAATATCAATTAGTCTTACTAACGCAGACTATAAAATCATAGCCTTCATTTTTTGTACGAAGGTTACAGAAGATTATTTACAAGCAAATATGTAAACAGCGTATATAAAAAGCTGATTTATAGGGTTTATAGGGATTAATGCCCGCTTTTTACTAGATTGATTATTTATTTTTGATTATTGATTATTTTTGGTTATTGTAAAAGCAATAACAAAAAAGGAATCTTATTATTTCTAGACTTTGAAAAAGCCTTTTACTCAGTGGAATGGAATTTCCTATTTAAAACAGTAGAAAAATTTCGGTCAGAATTTCTTAACGTAGGCATTGTATTACAGCCCAATGTATAGACTAAAGATTAATGATTAAAGATTAAAAGTTTTAAAAAATACGGCATGCAGACGATATGACATTGGAATAATAAAAGATGAAAGCTCTTAAACAAACTTCGGAAATAATTAACAATTTTTTGTAGTCATGTAGGTTTAAAAGTAAATATTGTTTGCTGAAGACTTACTTTCCAAAAATGGGACTTTAAAATCACCCGATGAAATGGAAGGGATATTGTTAAATAAGAGAAATTGGTTATGTGAATATGAAATAATAAAATCGATTTTCAAAATATATGAAAAAAAATATGATTTTACTTTGTGTCTATATCTTAAACAAGTGTCATTAAATATTCCATGCTTTTATAAATATTCAGTAAAATATTTTTATATGATGAATTTTTAAAGAACAAATTTCAAGTTCCAGTTGTGCAAGCAAAATATAATAAAGACTTTACAATACTTAAGAGCGATTGCGAAAAAATCTATATAAATAAAATCGAGTTATAGAGGAAGATAAAAATTTTGGAATTCAACAATAAACTAATTAATACATGTAATATACTATGAAATAATTAGTTTGTGAGCAACATAAACAAAAATTCTAACTACGGATGTAAAACTTGTAGCGAAGTAGAAAATTTAAAGCACCTAATTTTTAAGTAAGCAAATGTACAACAATTATTGAAGATAGTGTGTAATTTTATAGGTTTTTATGTTCATGTATTTACATAAACGAAAGTAATTGTTTAAAGTATATACATGGAACACGTATATATGAAGAAGGAGACATCGAATGTAACAAAATTAATAAACGTCACTAGATCTGTCATCATCTAGTATCCGAAAAAATATAGCATTTCCATTATTTAGTATTGGTTATCTGGTATTTCTAATGTTATAGGAATGTAGGAACCAGATGGGAGCACGCAGTCGTGTACCTAAAATGTTTCAGTGTACCAAGATGTGTTGTATAGAGTTGAAATCTAACTCTAATATAATAGCGCCCATCAATATTGTCTTAAGACTCTTAGATGCTCCCCCCTCCCCCTCGAAAAGATTCTACGTGTATACGTGTGCCTGTGGTATTAATACTTATACAACAACAGAATTTGCATTTACTATAGCTACGTGTATGCTAAGCTAACATGTATATGTGAATATATTTCTCAGGTACTAACATTGAATGAATAGTATACACTCTTTTATTTACAATGCAAAAGATAAAAAAAAATCCATAAACAATACAAATATGTGAAGAAGGCATAAAACACGGACCCCTGGAAATTCCAGAGATGGAATCAGGTGCCTAGGAGGAGTAAGCATCCCCTGCTGAACGGTCACACCCGCCGTGAGCACTATGTATTGATCAGGTGGACATAACTATCCCTAGTCAATTCAGTACAAAAACAAAGGCCTAACAATTGGTATGAAACACGTCAGCCAAAATACGACCCAATGATAGATTACATTTGCTAACAATGTCATTATAACGATCGTAAAATTTACAAAATGCTTACTTTAAACGAGGCTGTTGAAATTCTGGTAAAATCAACTTATCAGTGAATAGCCTGCATCGCTTTAAAAATTGATCGTACTCAGAACAAACTCTTGAGTAGCGAATAAATTGGAACTCATAAACACCATAAGCAGATATCAGTGGAATATTACTGCATAAATAAGGAAAGTTGACGATGGAAAAGCTAAAAGTCACCTCGTTTGTCATACAATTGTGTTGTTAATTGGCCTTTATCGTCTATAGTCAGTAAAAA